AGTCATATATATACGGCTTGTTATTAACCCAACTACATAACAAGGGCCTGGTAATAATCCAGTCTCGACTGGGCAAACAACTGGTTCGTGGCTAAATCACCGCCTGACAGTGCCATTTTTGCATCGTTACCATGGTGCGTTCTGTAACAACGTTGCTACCTCAATGATGCTGACACTTGTTTAGTTGCCACTGTAACAATGCTGTCACTTGCAACAATGTTGCTTCGTGTACAGTTGCCCTTGAGTGTACTGTAACAATGTTGCTACATGTATAGTTCCCCTTGAGTGTACCCTAACAATGTTGTTACGTGTATAGTTGCCCTTGTGTGTACTGTAACAATGTTGCTACGTGAATAGTTACCCTTGTGTGAACTGTAACAATGTTACAGTGTGACATTGCCATTTTTGCATCGTTACCATGTTGCGTTCTGTAACAACGTTGCTACCTCAATGATGCTGACACTTATTTAGTTGCCACTCTAACAATGCTGTCACTTGCATCATTACCATGCTACAAAATGCATGTAGAGTTGCAATTGTGTGTACTGTAACAATGTGGCTACGTGTACAGCTGCCCTTGAGTGTACTGTAACAATGTTGCTACGTGTATAATTGCCCTTCAGTGTACCCTAACAACGTTGCTACATGTATAGTAGCCCTAGGTGTACTGCAACAATGTTGCTGCGTGTATAGTTGCCCTTGAGTGTACTGTAATAATGTTGCTACATGTACAGCTGCCCTTGAGTGTACTGTAACAATGTTGGTACGTGTATTGTTGCACTTGAGTGTACTCTTACAATGTTAGTACGTGTATAGTTGCCCTTGAGTGTACTCTTACAATGTTGTTACGTGTATAGTTGCCCTTGAGTGTACTATAACAATGCTGCTACGTTTATATTTGCCCATACTGTTAGTGCTACGTTTATATTTGCCCATGATTGTACTGTAACAATGTTGCTATCATGTGTACAGTTGCCAGTGGGTGTACTGTAGCAATGTTGCCACGTGTATAGCTGCCCTTTAGTGTACTGTAACAATGTTGTTACGTGTACAGTTGCCCTTGAGTGTACTGTAACAATGTTGCAACGTGTACAGCTGCCCTTGTTTCTACTGTAACAATTATGCAATATGTACAACTGCCCTTGTGAGTACTGTAACAATTATGCAACGTGTACAGTTACCCTTGAGTGTACTCTTACAATGTTGGTACGTGTATAGTTGCCCCTGTGTGCACTGTAACAATGTTGCAGCGTGTGCAGCTGCCTTGTGTGTACTGTAACAATGTTACTACTTGGACAGGTGCCCTTGAGTGTACTGTAACAATGTTGTTACGTGTATAGTTGCCCCTGTTTGTACTGTAACAATGTTACTACGTGTATAGTTGCCCTTGAGTGTACTGTCACAATGTTATGTGCATTGGTACCCTTGTTTGTACTGTCACAATGTTATGTGCATTGATACCATTGTGGTTACTTTAACAATGTTATGTGCATTGGTACCCTATTGCGTACTGTCACAATGTTATGTGCATTGGTACCCTTTTGCGTACTGTCACAATGTTATGTGCATTGATACCACTGTGTGTACTGTAACAATGCTATGTGCATTGGTACCCTATTGCGTACTGTAACAATGTTATGTGCATTGGTACCCTTTTGCGTACTGTCACAATGTTATGTGCATTGATACCACTGTGTGTACTGTAACAATGCTATGTGCATTGATGCCCTTGGGCGTACTGTAACAATCTTATGTGCAATGGTACCATTGTGCGTACTGTCACAATGTTATGTGCATTGATACCATTGTGTGTACTGTAACAATATTATGTGCATTGATACCCTTGTGTGTACTGTCACAATGTTATGTGCATTGATGCCTTTGTGTGTACTGTAACAATGTTATGTGCATTGATGCCTTTGTGTGTACTGTAACAATGTTATGTGCATTGGTACCCTTTGCGTACTGTGTAATGCATTGATACCCATTGTGCTGTAACAATGTTATGTGCATTGATGCCCCTGTAACAATGTTATGCGTACTGTAACAATGTTATGTGCATTGGTATCCTTGTGATTACTGTAATAATGTTATGATGTGCATGTTGGTGCATTGATGCCTTTGTGTGTGTACTGTCATGTGCAATGTTATGTGCATTGTAACAATGTTATGCATTGATACCATTGTGTGTACTGTAACTCTGTTATGTGCATTGATACCCTTATGTGTACTGTCACAATGTCATGTGCATTGATACCCTTGTGTGTACTGTAACAATGTTATGTGCATTGATACCTTTGTGTGTACTGTAACAATGTTATGTGCATTGGTGCCCTTGGTGCGTACTGTAACAATGTTATGTGCATTGGTACCTTGTGCGTACTGTAACAATGTTATGTGCATTGATGCCTTTGTGTGTACTGTAACAATGTTATGTGCATTGATACCTTTGTGTGTACTGTAACAATGTTATGTGCATTGGTACCCTTGTGTGTACTGTAACAATGTTATGTGCATTGATGCCTTTGTGTGTACTGTAACAATGTTATGTGCATTGATACCCCTGTATGTGTACTGTAACAATGTTATGTGCATTGGTACCCTTGTGCGTACTGTAACAATGTTATGTGCATTGGTACCCTTGGGCGTACTGTCACAATGTTGTTACGTGTATGGTTGCCTCTGTTTGTACTGTAACAAGTGTTATCGATACGTGTATAGTTGCTTGTGTACTCTTGTGCGTACTGTAACAATGTCATGTGCATTGATACCTTTGTGTGTACTGTAACAATGATATGTGCATTGGTACCCTTGGGTGTACTGTAACAATGTTATGTGCATTGGTACCCTTGTGCGTACTGTTACAATGTTTGTGCATTGATGCCTTTGTGTGTACTGTAACAATGTTATGTGCATCGATACCTTTGTGTGTATTGTAACAATGTTATGTGTATTGGTACCCTTGTGCGTACTGTCACAATGTTATGTGCATTGGTACCCTTGGGCGTACTGTCACAATGTTGTTACGTGTATAATTGCCCCTGTTTGTACTGTAACAGTGTTACTACGTGTATAGTTGCTACTGCATGTACTGTAACAATGTTATGTGCATTGGTACCCTTGTTTGTACTGTCACAATGTTATGTGCATTGGTACCCTTGGGCGTACTGTAACAATGTTGTTACGTGTATAGTTGCCCCTGTTTGTACTGTAACAATGATACTACGTGTATAGTTGCCCTTGCGTGTACTGTAACAATGTTATGTGCATTGGTACCCTATTGCGTACTGTCACAATGTTATGTGCATTGGTACCCTTTTGCGTACTGTCACAATGTTATGTGCATTGGTACCCTATTGCGTACTGTAACAATGTTATGTGCATTGGTACCCTATTGCGTACTGTAACAAAGTTATGTGCATTGATACCACTGTGTGTACTCTAACAATGCTATGTGCATTGATGCCCTTGGGCGTACTGTAACAATCTTATGTGCAATGGTGCCATTGTGCGTACTGTCACAATGTTATGTGCATTGGTACCCTTGTGCGTACTGTTACAATGTTTGTGCATTGATGCCTTTGTGTGTACTGTAACAATGTTATGTGCATCGATACCTTTGTGTGTACTGTAACAATGTTATGTGTATTGGTACCCTTGTGCGTACTGTAACAATGTTATGTGCATTGGTACCCTTGTGCGTACTGTAACAATGTTATGTGCATTGATGCCTTTGTGTGTACTGTAACAATGTTATGTGCATTGATACCTTTGTGTGTACTGTAACAATGTTATGTGCATTGGTACCCTTGTGCGTACTGTAACAATGTTATGTGCATTGATACCCTTTGTGCGTACTGTAACAATGTTATGTGCATTGGTACCCTTGTGCGTACTGTAACAATGTTATGTGCATTGGTACCCTTTGTGCGTACTGTAACAATGTTATGTGCATTGATGCCTTTGTGTGTACTGTAACAATGTTATGTGCATTGGTACCCTTGTGTGTACTGTAACAATGTTATGTGCATTGATGCCATTGTGTGTACTGCAACAATGTTATGTGCATTGATGCCTTTGTGTGTACTGTAACAATGTTATGTGCATTGGTACCCTTGGACGTACTGTAACAATGTTATGTGTAACATTGGTACCCTTTGTGTAACACTGTAACAATGTTATGTGCATTGATGCCTTTTGTGTGTACTGTAACAATGTTATGTGCATTGATACCTTTGTTTGTGTGTACTGTAACAATGTTATGTGTATTGGTACCCTTGTGTAACAATGTTATGTGCATTGGTAATGTGCCTATTACCCGTAACAATGTTATGTGCATTGTACTGTAACAATGTTGATTGATACCATGATGTATTGATGTTACTGTGCGTAACACTGTAACAATGTTATGTGCATTGATACCTTTGCATTGTGCGTACTGTAACAATGTTATGTGCATTGATACCCTTGTGTGTACTGTAAACAATGTTATGTGCATTGTGTATTGGTATGCCATTTACCCTTAACAATGTGTGTACTGTAACAATGTTATGTGCATTGGTGCCTTTGTGTGTACTGTAACAGTGTTATGTGCATTGGTACCCTTGTGTGTACTGTAACAATGTTATGTGCATTGGTACCCTTGTGCATACTGTAACAATGTTATGTGCATTGATGCCTTTGTGTGTACTGTAACAATGTTATGTGCATTGGTACCCCTGTGTGTACTGTAACAATGCTATGTGGATTGATACCATTGTGTGTACTGCAATATGTGCATTGATACCCTTATGTGTACTGTAACAATGTTATGTGCATTGGTACCCTTGTGTGCACTGTAACAATGCTGTTATGTGCACTAGTGCCATGCATATACTTTGACAGAATAAGTCCTTGATATAATGTCCCACTCTGAACATGTTTCTTTCAATTCCGAATGAAAGTCACATCAGTTATTTGTGGTCTCCAAATATAATATTTTAATTGATATAAAAGACATGTTACAAAATGAGGTCCCTTTATTTCTTGAGGTACATGACATTCTTGAGTCCGGAGTGTTCCGGAAGGTGATCCAATGGTGTATGTTTAGATTAGAATCTTAATAAAAGTCTCATGTGCGAACGGACATCTGTCCAAATGACTGAGTCAAGTTCCTTAATCACATCCATATTGATTGTATCCCTCAGTTGTTTTGGGTGTAACCCGATTTTGTAGGATGAAAATCCCTTTTTCAAATCTCCCATGTGAAAAGAGATTTATATAGATGTAGTCATCAGAAGGGGCGTAATCAGATAGTCATTTCTAGAGTAACTGAGTACTATAATTGAAGCTGCATCAGAACGGTTCTTTAGCTTCATAAACTTCTTATATGGACGACCGTACGGTTATGGCTGCGTTCAAATGACGAGTGCGACCGATCACCAGGTTCTTTTCTAAAGGTAATGTATCGTATTTCTAATTATATATTGAACATTAAAGATACCTACACGACTGAATTATTACGATCATCAGATTTCAAAAGTAACATGTTGTATTACAAATAACTGTATAGATACATGTACACAAATGTACGTTACAAGTCTCAAATGTACGTTATTCTTGCAGGCATGGCACTCGTTATAATTTGGTATTAAAGTAGACAGAGATGTTAGAAATATGCATCACTCTCGCAACAAGTCACATTATTTAAAGGGGTGGTCAGGTGTTCTATCTGGGAGTGGCGATTATTTGAAATGGCCGTGGCATCCGGGTAATACCCAGAATCCCCTTGAGATCAGGCGGAGCTTCCCCTTCCGGTAACCGGAACTTAAACGTCTTCAGCATTGACCCCAGAAATAGGAACAATTCCGTCCGGGCTAATGACTCACCAAGGCATATTCTTCTTCCTGAAAGATATGAAATCTGAGATGTTCATGAATTTCAAATAAGACTGCGACATGTGTTTATTACCTTGAGTAACATATCTTAAACATACAAACATACTTGAACCATACAGAAACTTTAAGTCTCAAAAGATGATAAGAGGAAGTGGCTACTGAAATGTTATTTGCCGAATGGCATCATACAAAGACACAATAAACACTCTCACAGTGACTACATTCGGTCTATAAGTGTCATTGTGCCATTCAGCAGGCAGGATGGAGAGGTGAAGTGTGGTTTAATGTCACGTTCAAGGAAAGTGCACGTGTACATCGACCTCAACTGCTAACACTGGTCCGGACTAATCTTTTGGCGCCTTCCGCTTTCCCATTCGTCACCACTCGCCCCTTTCCGTAACCTGCATCGGTATTCGGCTTGTCCCGGAATAACACGAGTTGGTCACGAATGCCGCTTTCCGAGCTGACGCCACATCTTAGAGCTCGGGAAGGTGACTTTTGTGAATTCAGTAGCAATTAGAGGTGGACAGGTGTAAGGTCCCACAGGTGGCGTGTCAGGGACAAAGTCACTTAGCAATATTCCATCTGTGAGATGCAAATATTTGAGTCTGGACCAGAAAATCCAGGGATTGAATGTACGCAACTGGGATATGATTACATGCATCACGTGTACACGTGATCCGGTCAGTCTCCTGTTACACACACCGGTTATAACTATGCTAGGTATACACTGTACCCACTATGTCACACAGCATTTCCCACTTACGTTTGCCTGACTGCAACCGCAGCCTGTACAGCTTTTATTCCTACGCAATGGCACAGAACCTAAACTTGCTACTTACCCATGAAAAAGGGAATGACTGCCTCGTCTCGACAGACATTTCCACTGTCGTCAAGGAACCTCTCTGGTCTGAATGTTTCAGGATCTCGCCACACATCTGGGTCGGACAGAACGGAGCTGATGTTCGGAAGAAGCATAGTGTTCTCAGGGATGGTGAATCCTCTGAATTGTGAGGTGTTCGGTGGAGCGTGAGGCACCGAGAAGGGGACAACATCAGCGAGTCTTTGGACCTCCATGATAAGAGCTTCCATGAAGGGGAGGCAACGCCTGTCACTCATGGAGAGCTGGTGGTCCTTCTCGAAAGCTTGGTCCAGCTCTAGCTGCGCCTTCTCCTGGATGTCTGGGTGCAAACTCAGGTACAGGAGAGCCCACCGCAATGTAGTTGCCGTCGTCTCTGTTCCGGCCACGAAAAACTCGACAATGATCGCTACCAACATCTCATCTGAAACGGTTTTAATTATATTAACAGCAATCATATCAATAATAATAGAATGTAAAGTTTATATATGCCCATCACTTTATTCCATTATTTTAGCAATTCCATTTTATAAAATCAAACCTTGATTGAATCCTTTGCCCCGTGCTAAACAATATTTCCGTTTGGTAATGTTCCATCTGGATTATGCATGACACTTTAAAGCGTCAAGATGAGTAAAATGCTAATAAATAAATGAACAATGATATATTGGAACTGATGTCAGGTAACTTTGTGATGCTGCCACCATGTTGGGCGATACATGCATAATGACATCTTGTTGATTATTTTGTGAATGGATGTCCTTGGTATTACCACCAGCCATCCCATGTCACAGGACTTAACTGGTCACCCCAGTGTCTATGGAACTAAGGATTTCAATGTATGTATCTTTGAGATGTACATTTAGATAACCGTGGCGTTGCATCTGAACGCAACATTTAATCACAGGAAATTTCCACATCATTCATGAACCTGATGCGTGTGCAGACAGAAGCCAAAGTGTGTGCGCCATTAACGAAATTGAGCTCAGTACACGTATAAAATGTCTAAGATACACTATCAAAATGGACAGTGAGTGAGGTTTTGGTTTTATGCCGCTTTTGGCAATATTACAGAAATATAACGGCTGGGGACACCAGGAATGGGCTTCACTCCCAGAGAAAATAAGTGAATTGTTGGTACCATAGAGGTGGGGATGCCGATGACCCTGATTACGAATATGTGGCAAATCAAAACTTAGGGTAATTTCTTGACAGTGGGATAAGTACCGTCTAACGGCTTTAGTTGCAATGAGACTGGTCTCACAAGCCTAAAAATGGCGTCTGGAAATGATAGTCTCATCAAATTAAAAGCACAGTGTTATAGATTGAAATCTGTTCCTTTAATCAACAGGGAATTCTCAACGAAAACTGGAAAGGAAATTTCAAGTTTTAGCGTTAACCATGGGATCTATTCAGCATGAAAAGAAAAGAGAGGGGTGAAGGGCATGAGACTAGGAGCCCATTATAGGCATAAGGGCTAGGTAGAGACTTACGTTACGCCATGATGCTTACAGACGAATCAAGTTTTTTTTCCCATTCTAAGATGGAAAGTATTCGTTTTGGACGACGTAGCCGCAAGCGGTATGCCAGCGCCACAATGTTTTACTATGATCGGTGTGGCGGCGGTAGTGTCATGGCGTGACATGTTGATCAGTTTTAGCATCCTGTCGTCGTTCAACTGGATAGAATTATCGGCAAAATCTTTCAAATAAAAAATGTTAGAAGAATTGTGCCAAGTTCGTTAATGATTATATCCGACAAGGAGGCAATACAATCAGTTCCCTTATGTTTTGTCGGCAGTACATGGATGCACGTTGAATTTCCAAGAATATTTTGTTAATGTGTACACTGGTTAATATTAGAAATGTGAGCAGGGAAAAACAGTTTACACAGTATACTGTTATACCCTCAAATTATATGTCTTAGCCATCAAATTTGAATACTGGATAAATTCGTTACATCGCTGAATTCGAATCAACTAAAATGCATTTCGACAAGAACGAACTTACTAAAAAATGTAGTGTTTTCCGCATTGAGAGTTTGCTGTTTGTCAATTTCTCTGATATAAGCATTGACAAAGTCGTCCTCTTGTTGAAGCAATGGGTCTGTCCTGTGTAGCGCTATCTGTTTCCGTACGAAGTCCCTGACCACTTTGTCGTTGGCTTCTATAACTCGCAGTTTCAGAGGATCTCCGGGACAGTACTTCAACCATGGAAAGAAGTGACACAGCGAGGTCCCGCCGACTAACTTCATGCCTTCGTCGACAGTATCCATGTAAGTGCGAAATTCAGGGTCGTCATGTTCAAACCTCTTCCCGAAGGACAGGGACGATATAACGTTGCATACGCTTGTGTGGATGGTGCAGTGGATATCGAAGGCAGCACCGTTCTCAGACATGATGGCGTCGAGACATGACATCACTTCCTCGTGTATCCGTGTTTCCATGACGTTCTTGCCAAGGCCAAGGTCACGCAAAACGGTGAGAGAGAATTTTCTTTGTTCCTTCCACGTTTGACCGCTTGAGTTCACGACGCCTGGGTTGAAAAGAACACACATATATTATTGCCGGTAGCAGGACAGTATGTACTGCCTGAGTAAACGTGTGATGATGTTTCTTAACTGTCTTATACAAATGTTATTCTAGGGGTTTTGTCTGAAGGAAGTGTTAACTATATGTTTCGGTGTGGAAATTCAGTGAAATGTGACATTTATAACAACTTGCCTCAACTTCACGATTTTCTATTCTTATGTGTGATAATCCGAGAGTTTCATATAAACTGGAATTCTATTTTCTTGTTGGTTCGGACCCCGCCTAATAATAAATTGAAATGATATTAACATTCTTTCCTTTAATTGCTTTATATGTACTGAATGACTTACACCTTCAACAGTTACATTGGTCTAACTTTGAATTATGCTAATAGCAAGGATATTTGAGAGTCTTGTAAAGTATTGAAATAGTGTAGTGTACTGTAATAATTATATTTATATCAGAAACTTTATATACTTATCGAAAACCTGGGACAATAAATATAAAGTGTGTCTCTCGGTACGCAATGTACACTTCTTCTGTGACCTTTGTGTATATTTGTGCGTCGCGTAAAACTCTGAATTGGTTCACTGTTTCATAGCCAAACACGTGAGTGTGTGGGTTGTTTTAACCCTCTTTGAACAGTTTCTATGTTTTATCATGGCATCAGTGTGTGAAATAGTTTCCAAATTATTTTGCTAGGCAGTCGGGCTAGCTATGCCTGAAAGTTACCAGCCCACAAAATAATTCACTAGCCCGAAATTGTAATATAGAAACTAAGCAAAAGATTACAAAAATAGATGAGAATACGATATTGTCGGCATGACACGGATTTCATAAATATGCTGCTAATATGATGAACAATTTTATCAGGCCATGATATTGCATGATTTGAAAGTTTATTATAACTGAACAAGTCGGAGTGATATATTTACAAAATGACCCCATGGAAATTCACTAGCAAGTCGGGCCAGGGATTGTGGACATCTACTGGCCCGACTGAATTTTTACTATTTTGCACACTGCATGGCATGTCATGTTGATGTGGTGGGAAAGAAAAGACCAACGTAGGTCTTAGGTGTGTAATAAATTGATAGAATAGGGGCATGGTGCTGACAGATCCAGAGGCATAATCGTGGCCACCCGGGATGCCAACCCACGGTCACTCATGATCGCTCACCTGTGAGGGATACAAACTGCAGAACAATCTGACTCGGACAATTGCAATATTGCTCTATCCATACACGTAGATGTATCCAGATATAATAGTAACACACATCTGTATTCCGCTATCCCGCAATGTTACCAGTGACAAAATCAGACTGGGTTAGGGTATATTCACAATATGAGAGTTACTTTAGTACGATACGCAAAAAACACACAGTATCTGAATTCTTTTACACATTAAAGTCAATAAAGCGAAACTGTACAAAACTGATTATATAACATATCTAGTTTAGAACAGTGGACAAGTAAGTGGCTACATTTACACTAGTGAGTCTAAACTTTTGATGGGTAGTATATAACATATCACAATTAACGCTAAGTACGTTAAAATGTGTTAGTTATTGAACATTGTGTCTTCAACACTATGAGGTATTGACGATTGTAGAACTGCGTGGTGTTTGGTTAGTTCTGGTGGATGACATAGTTGTTTCCCTTCCAACACAGATTTACAGTACAGCTTTTTTCAAATTTGTAAAATCTCGACGCGAGAATACGCAATCAGCGTTGCTAAGTTCATTCTGATCGTCTGGACTGTCCTCATATTGCCTACACCCCATTTCGCCTACACCTCTATCAAAACAAATGTATGGATGAGTACTATCCGGTCAATAATCTACGTAAAATGCTCTGGGTAATAGAAATCTTAGTGTGTTATCACAATTATCACGAGGCTCTATTAGCAAAGAATATGAAGTAGTCAATGGTAACAGTCTGCACATGTGAACAGACCGATGTCACGAGCAGCGTTTTCCCTTGTGACCGAACGAACAGTGTCATGTGAACCGCGGGGATCAAGATGATCGCTAGCCATGTTATATGTATATTCTGGTAGTTGAGCAAAGCTTCCATTTTGCCTTGATCTTAAAATGTCGAAGAATAATTTTTATCATACAAAATAAATTGGATTCAACTAATTTATTATAACGAACTGTTTCTTTTAACACCAATAGTATAGATTACTTACCCATTCTCTTTGTATACTGGTCATACGTCAATCCCTTTGGTCGGTCACTGAAATTGTCCCCATATTTTACAAACGCTTCTTTCAGTGTTTCATAACCATTGAAGACAATGACGAGATTATTGCCAAAATATAGGCTGAATACATCACCATAACGTTTTCTTAACTTCTGAAAGATGGATCTGACATCTCCCCCTGCTAAGGTGAGGACATTGCCGATAAGCGGCAGTGTCGGTGGACCAGGCGGTAAGTGCTGCGGCTTCCGTGTTCCCAGCCACAGGGCGAGTATACTTACAACAACAACTAGAAGCCATGTAGGGCTGATACAAACAACATAGTCACTGATTGACATATTAGTGCCAGGATATCACCCGTTCACTATTGGGGTAGTGTTCAGCTACACCTGCAAGTACGCGAAACTACTGCCCTGTATAATTTTCTATTTGTTAGTAACATGATCACATAATTACAGTTCCGGATTGGGGTTTGTCAAAACATGCGCCATACACCTGTAGGAAACGAAAACGGATTCACGGTACGATCTCTTGACTCTTTCAAATCTTAACTTTTTTTAATGTGTGTCAGTCACAGGTTTAACGTGACTGTGTTAAATACATACAGTTAAATTAATATCAACATTTATTATAATCAAATTGGCACAGAGCTGAACATTAGTTTATAGTGTATATATCCTGGTGTAGGTAGTATTAGTATGATGTTTAGAATGTAGGTGTTCATATTAAGATTAGTATTAATGCTAGTATTTGTATTAATATCAGTGTTCAGTATTAATATTTGCAATTAGTTATTAGTATAACATTATTATTAATTTTACCAGTTAGTGTAAGTATTACTGTCAGTATTTAGGGGTAAGTATTTGGTTGTTGAATGAGAATTAGGCATTTAAATAGAGAGGTTGTTGTGGGCCTTTCATATTTTAAGTTAGTTTTATTTTTGGTTCTGTCCCCACCAAAGAAGTAGCAAATGTAGAATGACAGACCCTATTGTTTGAACACTTGCACTTTGGTCACCATACAGATGAGTCATAACTGTTGATATAAAGTAAAGAAATTGTCGAGGCCTTTTCACATTTAACGGTATGTTTAACTAATACATAAATGTACAGATATATGCATATTTTATAATCAGCACTATATGAAACATAATATAGATGTACGATAACTGAGATATTTATCCATGTAGTGAGAGAAATAATGAGAATAGATTGTAGGACAGACTGTTCTTTGAGTATGTATTTCATGGAATCATTATAATGTATATAGTAAATATAGTTTATGTGTGCAGACATTTATGGTTGTTCTAGTATGCATGTTTAGTATCTTATTGTGTTTTATGACCGCAGTCTGTTGAGATGTGCGATATGTATTGATGTAGTTCTCATATAAAAAGGCAATGTGTAAAGACGTTAGTTCTTCCGTGTACTCAGTATTGTTATCGTACTTGTATATTTGTTGGCGTTATCATGATGCGCTGATTTAAGCTTATGGTAGTAGTGAGTGAGTGATTTGGGCTTTACTCCGCTTTTAGCAATATTCCAGCAATATCATGGCGGGGGACACCAGAAATGGGCTTCACACATTATACCCATGTGGGGAATCGAACCTGGGTCTTCGGCGTGACGAGCGAACGCTTTAACCACTAGGCTACCCCGCCGCCCCTCGTATGGTAGTAGTCATGGCAGATATAGTCTACACCATGAGGCACAAGACGGGTATGTTTCCCCAGCTCTAAATGCCAAGAAATGTTATTATGTCACACTATATGACATGTGTAAATTCAGGATATATATGCACATCATTTACAACTTCTGTAGTAACCGCAATATTCATATTATAACAAGAATTGTACATATGTATAGCCCTAAGTAAATGTATAATTTGTATGATATTCATATTTTTATTTGCATGACAGATGTATTGGTTCTTTACATGTTATTACCATCTTATAGTGTAAGGAACTGTATCCTAGTTGAGTGATGTTATGAATTTCAGTGTCATATAGTTAGTTAACTGTCATATATGAATAAACATTGTTCCCATCCGTAAATGTGTTGGACATATAAATCTTCAATAACACACAACTCTGCTACATATGATTTGTTGTTTCATGTGTAAATCTCATATACGCTATACTGTTATATACGATGGAGTTGTAAAGCAACCGTTAGATGACATTAGCATCATGTTGCTTAAACTTGTACAAAGTATATGAAACAGACATAAAAGCGCAGTTCCATGTTGCATGGAAGCTTGACGGATATTGATTCTGTACTTCTGTCATCCAAAATATGAATTAAACTAGAATTCAATAACATATGTGGTCGTGTAACATTACTATATGGGGATGTACTGCAACATCATAACTGTACTGGGATATACTGTAACATTATTGGGATATGCTGTAACATAACTGTATTGGGATATTCTGTAACAATACGCAATTGGAAATAATGTAACAATGCCTATATACTGTAACATAATTGTATTGGGAAATGCTGTAACATTATTGTTTTGTGATTTACTGTATTATTACTGTATTTGGATATATGCTGAAACACAAATGTATTTTGACATACAGTAACATCACTGTATTGGAACATACAGTAACATCACTGTATTGGAACATACAGTAACATCACTGTATTGGAACATACAGTAACATCACTGTATTGGAACATACAGTAACATCACTGTATTGGAAGATTCTGTAACATCACTGTATTGGAACATACAGTAACATCACTGTATTGGATCATACAGTAACATCACTGTATTGGAACATACAGTAACATCACTGTATTGGAATATACGGTAACATCACTGTATTGGAACATACAGTAACATAACTGTATTGGAAGATTCTGTAACATAACTGTATTGGAACATACGGTAACATTACTGTATTGGAACATACGGTAACATTACTGTATTGGGACATACGGTAACATTACTGTATTGGGACATAGGGTAACATCACTGTATTGGGACATACGGTAACATTACTGTATTGGGACATACAGTATTGGGACATACGGTAACATTACTGTATTGGGACATACGGTAACATTACTGTATTGGGACGTACGGTAACATCACTGTATTGGAACATACGGTAACATTGCTGTTTTGGGACATAGGGTAACATCACTGTATTGGAACATACAGTAACATTACTGTATTGGAACATACAGTTACATCACTGTACTGAACATACGGTAACATTACTGTATTGGGACATAGGGTAACATCACTGTATTGGGACATACGGTAACATTACTGTATTGGGACATAGGGTAACATCACTGTATTGGGACATATGGTAACATTACTGTATTGGGACATACAGCATTGGGACAAACGGTAACATTACTGTATTGGGACATACAGTCTTGGGACAAACGGTAACATTACTGTATTGGAACGTAGGGTAACATCACTGTATTGGAACATACGGTAATATTACTGTATTGGGACATAGGGTAACATCACTGTATTGGAACATACAGTAACATTACTGTATTGGAAAATTCTGTGACATTACTGTTTTGGAACATACGGTAACATTACTGTATTGGAACATAAAGTAACATTAATGTATTGGGACATAGGGTAACATTACTGTATTGGGACATAGGGTAACATCACTGTATTGGGACATAGGGTAACATCACTGTATTGGGACATACGGTAACATCACTGTATTGGGACATACGGTAACATTACTGTATTGGGAGATACGGTAACATTACTGTATTGGGACATACAGTAACTTCGCTGTATTGGAAAATACAGTATTGGGACATACGGTAACATAACTGTATTGGAACATACGATAACATCACTGTATTGGGACATACGGTAACATTACTCTATTGGGACATAGGGTAACATCACTGTATTGGGACATACGGTAACATTACTGTATTGGTACATAGGGTAACATTGCTGTATTGGGACATACGGTAACATTAATGTATTGGGACATACGGTAACATCACTGTATTGGGACATACGGTAACATTACTGTATTGGGACATACGGTAACATTACTGTAATGGGACATACGGTAACATTACTGTATTGGGACATACGTAACATTACTGTTTTGGGACATATGGTAACATTACTGTATTGGGACAAACGGTAAGATTACTGTATTTGGACATAGGGTAACATTACTGTATTGGTACATAGGGTAACATTGCTGTATTCGGACATACATTAACATTAATGTATTGGGACATAGGGTAACATTACTGTATTGGGACATAGGGTAACATCACTGTATTGGGACATACGGTAACATCACTGTATTGGGACGTACGGTAACATTACTGTATTGGGAGATACGGTAACATTACTGTATTGGGACATACAGTAACTTCGCTGTATTGGAACATACAGTATTGGGACATGTGGTAACATTACTGTATTGGAACATGCGGTAACATCACTGTATTAGGACATACGGTAACATTTCTCTATTGGGACAGAGGGTAACATCACTGTATTGGGACATACGGTAACGTTACTGTATTGGTACATAGGGTAACATTGCTGTATTGGGACATACGGTAACATTAATGTATTGGGACATACGGTAACATCACTGTATTGGGACATAGGGTAACATAACTGTATTGAAACATAGGGTAACAACACTGTATTGGGACATAGGGTAACATTACTGTATTGGTACATAGGGTAACATTACTGTATTGAAACATACGGTAACATCACTGTATTGGGACATACGGTAACATTACTCTATTTGGACATAGGGTAACATTACTGTATTGGGAAATACGGTAACATTACTGTATTGCAACATTCAGTAACATTACTGTATTGGGACATAGGGTAACATTACTGTATTGGGACATAGGGTAACATTACTGTATTCGGACATACATTAACATTAATGTATTGGGACATAGGATAACATTACTGTATTGGGACATAGGGTAACATCACTGTATTGGGACATACGGTAACATTACTGTATTGGGACATACGGTAACATTACTGTATTGGGTAGATACGGTAACATTACTGTATTGGGACATACAGTACTGTATTGGGACATACGGTAACATTACTGTATTGGAACATACAGTATTGGGACATGGTAACATTACTGTATTGGAACATGCAGTATTGGGACATGGCAGTAACATCACTGTATTGGGACATACGGTAACATGACATACGGTAACTCTATTGGGACAGAGGGTAACATCACTGTATTGGGACATACGGTAACGTTACTGTATTGGTACATAGGGTAACATTGCTGTATTGGGACATACGGTAACATTAATGTATTGGGACATACGGTAACATCACTGTATTATTGGTAACATAGGGTATTGGGACATATAACTGTATTGAAACATAGGGTAACATCACTGTATTGGGACATAGGGTAACATTACTGTATTGAACACAGGGTAACAGGGTAACATCACTGTATTGGGACATACGGTAACATTACTGTATTGGGACATACGGTAACATCACTGTATTGGGACATACGGTAACATTATTGTATTGGGACATACGGTAACATCACTGTATTGGGACATGGGGTAACATGGGACACTGTATTGGGACATAGGGTAACATCGCTGTATTGGGACATAGGGTAACATCACTGTATTGGGACATACAGTAACATCGCTGTATTGGGACATACAGTAACATTACGGTAACTGTATTGGGACATACGGTAACATTACTGTATTGGGACATTGGGTAACATCACTGTATTGGGACATACGGGTAACATTACTGTATTGGGACATTGGGTAACATTACTGTATTGGGACATATGGTAACATTACTGTATTGGGACATAGGGTAACATCACTGTATTGGGACAGTAACATTGCTCCATTGGGTAACATCACTGTATTGGGACATACAGTAACATTACTGTATGGGACATACGGTAACATACTGTATTGGGACATACGGTAACATTACTGTATTGGGACATACACTGTATTAACATTACTGTATTGGGACATACGGTAACATTACTGTATTGGGACATAGGGTAACATTACTGTATTGGGACATGGGGTAACATTACTGTATTGGGACATACGGTAACATCACTGTATTGGGACATTACGGTAACATTACTGTATTGGGACATACAGTATTGGGACATAGGGTAACATTAGTGTATTGCGACGTAGGGTAACATCACTGTATTGGGACATACGGTAACATTACTGTATTGGGAGATACGGTAACATTACTGTATTGGGACATACAGTAACTTTGCTGTATTGGAAAATACAGTATTGGGACATACGGTAACATTACTGTATTGGGACATACAGTATTGGGACATAGGGTAACATTAGTGTATTGGGACGTAGGGTAACATCACTGTATTGGGACATACGGTAACATTACTGTATTGGGAGATACGGTAACATTACTGTATTGGGACATACAGTAACTTCGCTGTATTGGAAAATACAGTATTTGGACATACGGTAACATTACTCTATTGGAACATACGGTAACATCACTGTATTGGGACATACGGTAACATTACTGTATTGGGACATAGGGTAACATCACTGTATTGGGACATACGGTAACATTACTGTATTGGTACATACGGTAACATCACTGTATTGGGACATACGATAACATCACTGTATTGGGACATACGGTAACATTACTGTAATGGGACATACGGTAACATTACTGTATTGGGACATACGGTAACATTACTGTATTGGGACATACGGTAACATCACTGTATTGGGACATACGGTAACATTATTGTATTGGGACATAGGGTAACATCACTGTATTTGGAACATAGGGTAACATTACTGTATTGGGACATAGGGTAACATCACTGTATTGGGACATAGGGTAACATCACTGTTTTGGGACATACAGTAACATCGCTGTATTGGGACATACAGTATTGGGACATACGGTAACATTACTGTATTGGGACATTGGGTAACATCACTGTATTGGGACATACGGTAACATTACTGTATTGGGACATTGGGTAACATCACTGTATTGGAACATATGGTAACATTACTGTATTGGGACATAGGGTAACATGGCTGTATTGGGACATAGGGTAACATCACTGTATTGGGACATACAGTAACATCGCTGTATTGGAACATACAGTATTGGGACATACGGTAACATTACTGTATTGGGACATTGGGTAACATCACTGTATTGGGACATACGGTAACATTACTGTATTGGGACATAGGGTAACATCACTGTATTGGAACATGGAGTAACATTACTGTATTCGGGCATACGGTAACATCGCTGTTTTTGGACATTAGGTAACATCACTGTATTGGAACATGCAGTAACATTACTGTATTGGAAGATTCTGTAACAACACTGTATTGGAACATACAATAACATTACTGTATTGGAACATGCAGTAACATCGCTGTATTGGAACATACAGTAACATCGCTGTATCGGAACATGCAGTAACATTACTATATTGGAAGATTCTGTAACAACACTGTATTGGAACATACAATAACATTACTGTATTGGGGTAACAGTAACATCGCTGTATTGGAACATACACTAACATCGCTGTATTGGAACATACAGTAACATCACTGTATTGGAACATACAGCAACATTACTGTATTGGAACACGCAGTAACATTACTGTACTGGAAGATTCTGTAACAACACTGTATTGGAACATACAATAACATTACTGTTTTGGAAGATTTTGTAACATCACTGTATTGGAACATACAGTAACATCACTGTATTGGAACATACAGTAACATCACGTATTTGAACATACAGTAACATCACTGTATTGGAACATACAGTAACATTACTGTATTGGAAGATTCTGTAACATAACTGTATTGGAACATTCAGTAACGTTACTGTATTGAAAGATTCTGTAACATTATCGTATTGGGGCATACTGCAACCGTTACTGTATTGATATATTGTATCACTACTGTATTGCGACATATGGTAACAGTACTGTGTTAGGATTTAGGAGACTCTGTGACATTACTGTGTTGGGATATGCTGTATGATATCTATATTGGAATACACTGCAAGATGACTGTTTATGGGATGTACTGTAACAATACCCTTCGGGATATACTATTATGATACCATGATTGTTTTGGGACATCTAGCATCATGACTGTCTCAGGATATACTGTAACACTACTGTAACTGGATATACTGTAAGATTACTGTATAGCAACATACTTGGATATGTAACATTTCCGTATCTAAATATATCGTGGCATAGCTATCTTGGGCTATACTGTTACATTGTTCCCACTGGTTTCAGCATACCCTCATGCAGGTCACGGCAGCATCGCACCTCGACAGAATAACTTTAGTAGTTAAGTAGTTCATGTCATAATATTTTTTTATTTACAAATCTGGATACAAAATAACACCATAAAGTTCAATTACATATAAATTCAAGCCGTGCTTGGATATTCCACATAACAACAACCTACACTGTCCCACAATAGACGGCTCCATCTTTTGATGAGCCAAACTAGGAAACAAACAATGAAGTCAAGTAAATATTAGTGTCAGGTATACAAGGAACACATGTTCTCCACTAATGTGTTATACTTACAGTAATAGTGTTTCACACTATGAGATAACACGCAATAGATGACGTTTTTGTCGTATTCACACAAAAGAATTTTTCAAAAAGGATTTATTTTAAATATGTCTTTGGATTACTTGCAGAAATACTTTATTGATGGAAATGCTACTGTCCACTATATACCTGTAAGGCTCATTCACATTATTGATCGACAAGTGGAGATTTCGGACATGGAAATTACCAACACATTTCTTAGTAATTACTACTGTAGTTTCTTTTGATAGGAGCAAATGGTGGAATACACATGATTTAATATCAAATCGGGTATTTCAAATATGATATACAAATATATTATTTACTCTAATTCCACTCTTTATCGTGCAACAAAACAAATATACACATTACAATAGCATAAGTTGACGTGAAGACAAAGAGGAACGACCAAGGTCTGTACATCATGAAAGCAATCAACAGGTGGAGCGTTAAAAGATGAAGTTAGTTATGTTTGTGTTTCTTTACTCTGCATCTTTCAAAGATTTCAGCATACCTAAATACTACGGGAACAGTTGAAAACCGCTTCAATCAACCTTTTGATATACCTTTCCCTAACTGTTGATAAAAGACTTAAATGTTCATTTGCCTTAATTAACAAAATCTAATTCCCATTTAAACGAACGTATCTAATGACCTTCCAAATGATTTGTATACGATTATCATACTTTTTAAGATATGCATATCCTGTGAGCCAGATTAGGCCCTTATCACACTGTGTGTTTTAGCCCCCCCCCAAAAAAAAAAAATACAAAAAAAATACAAAAATACAAAAATAATAATAAAATAAAATAAAATAAAAATAAATAAAATAAAATAAAATAAAAAACCCAAAAAACAAAATTAAAAAAATATATGTCCGTTTCCGGTAACTCGACCGACCCTATCCTAACCAACCCGACCCTAAATCTTTTTTAACCAAGTTAAAATCATGACTGGAGGGCATTTCAACTCATCATTTTCATCCAAATCGAGTATGATATTTTCATGTTTTTTCAGTGTAGGTAGGGCTAAAATGGATTGCATTAAATTGGCATAATGGGTCCTCACTGACAAAACCTGCAAATAAATAACATAAATAATGATTTGATATAGAAATCTATCAATGTTTCATCACAAGACAACATTGTCACAACATGATATGGTATCCTTGAAGACATTCTCAGGTGCCCACCTGGTGCTACTAAAAAAATAAAAGTAAAAAAAAAGATAAAACCGACCCACCTACCCTATTTTTAAAAAGCATGTAATAGGAAACGGACATATATTTGTTTCCTTATTAATTATAACTGATTATTTCCTGATGAAGTAAATGCTTATTCTGAATGTTTTATGCATATTTCCACATCTTGAAGCCAGAGATTCTTTGGTACTTTTGTATATGATGTTCAATTCATTTGTAACAAGTTGTGGTATGAGTATCAAATTGATTTTGATTTGAATATTTAGGTCCTCTGGGGCGTTATTAAACCCAATAGGTAATAAGCATTTTCAACACATTGAAACAAGCCTAGTAAAATTGTGTAATAGACCGCGTGAACAATGTATTAATATATTCCGTGTTAAAATAATTGGTGGAAGAAACAAAGACAAAGTATTCTAATAACAAAGTGAGCATCATTAAGCTATTGTAGCACTGAGCTACTAACAGCAATCATCCGTTACTCTGTTCTGTGGCAACATTTCTCTACCAACGTGGTTGCACAGATATCCCCGTCCTCCCAGTTTACCGGCGTGTGTCGGCCCCTACAGCACGGCGGTTGGTTGTCCAGAGCTGACGTTCATGTACAGCTCTTCCGGGTCAGGTTCTGCAACAGTCATAAACGTATTAATTCAGCCTATACACTAGTCTGGCAACTATTTATCATTATTATAGGATATTTATGTCACAGGTTGAATTATTCATATAGTACAGCACCCATCACAATTTTGTCTCTAACAGCTTGCCATACAGTTGAGCAGGCTGCCAGCAGGTACATCCTGGGCTCTGGCACATGCTGCTCCTGCACAGAACATGGGTGATACAGTGGCAGCCCTCTATGTAATTTCCCTAATTACAGGTACGCAAGTTTGACTGAATTGTTCATATTAAAGCAATTTCTCATAATTAAGTCAGGTGTAATCCTGTATTCAAGTAATTATATTTAATAATGGTTTAGTAACCATTAATTTTCATAATTATGTATATCTAATAATTATGAAAAATGTCACAATAGTTTTACTTGTATTGATTTATAAAGAGACACACCATGCTGGCAGTGGCAGCCCTCCATGTAATTTCCCTAATTACAGGTTTATGGCACACACTGTGTTTGTACCCCACATGGAAATGGCAAGTGGCAGAATAAAGACATTGAACACCAGCCCAGTGGTCGTGTTTTAAAACCCTGCGATATTTATATAGTGCACATATCCACGCAACTAGTACATGCTCAAGGCGCTGTTTTCCCCCCTCGATCATTGGATTTCAATCTCAACGGCACATCGTATTATCAATCTCAACTGCCCGGGGAGCATACAACTCTTGCAGCCACTAGGCGCACCGAGTTATCGTGACTTTCTCATCCTTACGAGGTACCCATTCACAGCTGGGTGGACTGGGACACATAGTCACAGTACTTTGTCCAAGTTCACTTCACGTTGCTGTACCCGCAACTAGGTGTTTGCACGTATTCATGTGGCCACCATCTGGTCATATACCAACGGATTCGTGGGTTCTTTTAAGTGCAAAGGGTTGTGTACTGTACACTAGGGGTTGTGACAACACTGAAAGACTATGCACACAAAGTTGACTCCCAAGTTTTTTACACCCGGTCACAGGTGGGCTCGATCCCGGCACCTCAAGCTCGCTGGATCACTAGCCTGGCGCCTTAGACAGCTCGCCCACCACTATTCATTCATGTACACTGATTTCAACATTATTTAATACTTGGTCATTATGGCGTCGATATGATTGGGTTGTCTCTTTTTAAATCTGGTGTATACATTGCATAGTTACAGTTGAAGGGGTTGTGTCACTTGTAAATATTATGGTTTTTAGAAAGTTATTGTTAATCAGCAACACATGGTCGTTTATTTTTCTTGGAAGCAACTCGTTCCCTCGTGTTCGTCAAGTACACTAACCATATCCCTGGTTGGCATAGACATTCTCCTCTGGCTCGTTGCCGCAGTTCTGGTAGATGTTGTCTCTCTGTGCTATTTCCTTCTTCTTCTTTATGATCATTTCCTTGATAGTGTCGTGGATAAATATGTACTGTTTCTGAAAATATAATGACGACTGGATCAGTGGACTACAGACACACTATGGATGTAAGTAAGATTCAAACCAGTGTTTTAGCTTATATACCTAGGTTTTGGCGATACCCGTGTTCTCACAGAGTCAAGAGCTTTCAGGTGAGCAGTTTACCTGCACTCTGCATGTAATTTCGACGTGTGCCACCCATGGGTTAGGATATGCTTACCTTATTGTGAACACCAGGTATAATGACTATTTACTAATTCACGCAAGCTCATGATGCAGTCAGAATCTGACAACTCACTTTGCTTTAGCAGAGATTTCTTGCTTCTGTTCTATACTTCAAATGGACTACGCAACACATCAACTGTTCGAACTAATATGGTGATTTGTATCGTATTGCAACATGTACTCTTGAAAAGATACACCCCTCACCCCGTAGATTGAAGACAATGTCTCATTACCTCTGTCTGGACCATGTAGGACCTGTTTTCCCTCATCTTCATCACGAAGTCAAACACGTCCAGCTCTTTGTCAAAGTTCTCCTCGTCTATCGCCTGCTTGAAGACGTCCAGAGAGATGTACGTCCCAGTCCGCCCGACGCCAGCACTGCACAGAACGGGGCAGACGTGTATCATAATATAATGTTGTCTTTAACATCTGCTCGAAAGTAAGCGAAGAAGGTCTGTGTCATTAGTGCACTTGGTGTGTTGCATAGTATTCTGGGAACTAAGATCGTAGGAAAGTAAACAGCATTATATGATATGAGTTATTTGTGATATGAAGGATGTTTCAAAATAACACAGAGAAATATGCAATAGAACACGGACAGATAACATTTCATTTTCCAAATATGGTGTCATCTAACTTCTGTATAATATGATCCTTTTCTCTGTTACCCAACGTGCGATAAATTCTGGATTGAAAGAAGAAATCAAATGATATCTCAGTGTGAGGAGCTTGGGCAAATCATAAATTTCAAGTGCATAAACCACTATATATTTGCGCTTCAGTGGAATTTAGAGATTCTTATTTGAGTGCCGAGACTTTTAGACGTTCATGGATAGTATATTGATACATATCATATCAAAATCCACGATGGTGAGATTCTTGTGTTCTAAAAATCATTCTTTCACACTTGGGTGTAGAAAGTACACCTAACCAGCTTCAGTGGAAAGTTTCCTGTGACAATGCACATGTTCATAAACATTTACAAAACAACGTGATAGGTGAAGGTTACCTGCAGTGCACACATATAGGACCTGTGTCCGTGGGCGTTACGGTCATCCGGACATCTCTGACAAAGCTGATGACGTTATCGGGGGTAAGATTAGCACCAAAGTCCTGCCACCCAGGGAGGAAATAATGGCGGACCTTCCGACTTTCGTCCCCCTAGATAACAGTAAATCACATGATGAGAGGTGTGACTTGGTTAGATCATCTAGCATTAAGTGGAACGACCCGCCTTCCAGAGCTCTGCTTGAGTACTGCCACTTCCTGGTAACACGATTGGTTTTAACAGTAATAATGTGTTGCGTAATACAGTTCTAATACACCCACTGGTATAGGGCCCGTAAGTTGGTCGAGTACGAGACCTAAGTACTTTCGGTGACAAACAACGTTTCATTACCTTTTCGAATGGTCTCATGGTTGTCAGTTGACAGTAAGGAACCGATAATCATTTCTGGAATAACAAATTTCCGATCTAACCATCCCAAAACTAGCCAACTATTACGATTTTTAATAGCTGTGACTGCCAAGCATCTTGGTCCGGTAGAGTAAAGTCATAGTTGGCTAGTTGAATGGTTATGCTACAAATAGCAGACATACCTTCCTTATCTGGAAGATTTTGATGATGTATTTGTTGAGTGGCGAGTAGTTTATCATCTCGACAATGATCTCTCCGTGTTGCACTGGCTCGTTAATGGTCTTTGGCCAATACATGTCAACCTTGGGCTGCAAGATGAACACATTTCACATTCCAGTGCTGGAGCGCTGCACTATGTATGACGCGTTTCTTACAATAAGCAACTATTTGATTAAAATACAATCCAAGGCGCTCTACTATACGTATTATCTACGTGTTAGTTACCTATAATTATTACAGAACAGTTAAAGTTTTCAGCGGTTACATACTGTTTTAACACAAAGAATAGTATACAGAATAGTTCGTTTCATTAACGTACTCTAGGTGGCACTCATGCGGTTGCAGACGCTATGTAAATATGCATCAAAATACATTTCAAAGTACGTTACTCCTGCATCAATGACAATCATTATAACTGAACTAACATTTTCTAGTAAAAGTCTACTGTAGGTGTTACAACCTAGGAGAATTATAAAGTACATGGGATTAACGTGACCGAACCCTTTGCACAATAACGAAAAACATTGCCTTCACTTTAAGAAGGTCCATCATTGCCTTAACTTTAATTAGGTCCATATCACAGTATTGAATTAGATTTATGAAACATCCACATCCAAACTGTAAGGTACAAAGCACAACAATGACTCCATCGACTTACCACCCCCTATTTTATCCATTCTATTTTCAAGATTCAAGAATATTTTACAGTATTAGAGGCCTCAAGCCCAAAGTACATGTTTTGTCTGACAAACCTCCTTTCACAGAAGGTTTACATAAAAGTGAATGAATACAAACAAATGGTACAAATACAATTTTAAATAGTGAAAAAGAATGCAAGAGAACATTTCAAACAGCATATGGAAAATAATCTATTTCATGAACGCTTTAGTCACTTTTGATATCAAAATTTATCTCCCTTGAAAAGAAAGTCAACCAGAAGTTTTGCTTTGCTTGGATAGGTAGTTATTCTTGTGGCGCATACAATGCATTTTGAGCTTTCAAATGGAAAGTTATTCATAGCTTTGGTGACGTTTGCAATGCATCTTTGCTTATTTCTCACCCAGGGGAAATATTTACATCTTAGTTCCTCATACAAAGGTCACACTGTTAAGAAATGGGGGGCGGTTGGGTAGCCCTAATGGTTAAAGCGTTGGCTCGTCACGCCGAAGACCCGGGTTCGAATCCCCACATGTGTGAAGCCCATTTCTGGTGTCCCCCGCCGTGATGTTGCTGGAATATTGCTAAAAGCGGCGTAAAACCAAACTCAGTCAGTCAGTGTTAAGAAATGTCTCTGCTTTAAATGATTTACACAGAATTTACAATATCGCTCATCTCGGTCAGTCTTCTTCCATCGCCCAACTTCTATTTCAAGTTGATGGTTCGAACAGCGAAACCGTGTAAGTGTAATTCTCAAGTTCAATTATCTTTGATATGAAGAAGATATTTTTCAGATTCTAGTTGAGATTTGAACCTCCTGTAGTGTGTCAGCCTGTTACTTGCCCATTTTATTTTATCCACCATCAAACATGGATGTCTACGTTCTTCTGAATTGCAGTGTAGAAGGCTTCGTATCAATCAATTCTGATGACATGATAAAATAAATCTACTAATCACCTTGCCCTTCTCCAGCAGGTCTGACAGCATGATGATGACGTTGACATCCTGTTCCCACACCATCCTCCAGAAGTCCGCCACAGTTCCGGTCATGGGGCCCTGGGTGGCGATGTACTCGCGAGGAGAGTTCTTACCCTGTTGACAGTCAACAATACACACAGCTCTTAAAAATGTCAGTATTTTCAATACGTGTTACTTGTATTGTAAACAGTCTAAGTGAGTGTGAATTCGTGTCATTATATCAATATTTTTAATTACATGTCACTGTCAACACTACTGCACATTGAATCTGTGGCCCGTAATATGGTTGGGCAGGCAAACTTGTGATTGAGGTTTCATGAAGTCCCACTCCGTCGGGTGACGACTACACACAGTCAGCACAGTCACCATCCAATACCCAGTTTAGTCAAACACTGAAAACACGATGAACTCGAGATCGTCCATTTGCATAGTGAAAAATAATTAATCCCCACAAAAAACTTAATTCCTTTTACGATTGAGACAATATTCGAAGAGAGTGTTGGATTACCGGTATATAATTAGCGTTGATGTAATCTGCATCGTCCTCATCGTCATCTGACAAGGACCGGAGCTTCACCCGCGTGTAATCAACTAGATGGGAAATATTATAGCACAGGTAATATGACAAGTAGTCAAATCCATTCACTTCAGGCAAAGATTAGTACAGTATTTTAATGGTCCTTACAGGCGATCATATGTGTATTAGGTAGTGGGTCGTTCAATTAGGTAACAAGTATTCTCATGATGTAAAGCATTTTGGTTCGAATACTGAATATTGTACTGAATGTTTGCACATTTGAAGCATATGAAGACGTACATGGAAGAATGTTGACATATCTGTTCCTGAGTCTGTTGCCGTCGGTTTCTGAAGCTTTGCTTGCATGTTTTGGACTTAAAGCACATATATCCTTAAAGAAGAACAAAGACACATTTTAAACAAGTATAACACGTAAGGTGTAGAATCAATATCATTACACCAACATAAATGGACATAGATTTTCTTGACATGGAAAGTAGGGATATATATCAGAGGAATTTCTTCTTCTTTCTTATGAATATATTATTATATATGTTGTATTATTCAAAAGTAAAGTACACCGAGATACACTACTTGCCTCAAATTCTTCTGAGAACAGTAGATTTGAATCTTTATGCATGTCATCTACACGCCTCTCAAACTCTGAAATCTTGACGGGCCTGAATCCACAAAAGAAAACACAAAACAAAAGAATGTTTTTTTTCTGCATTGACATGGTGTTTATAGTGGAAACATCACACGTGACTGTTCTGTGATACTCAGTATTTTTATAGGCATCCCAGATCATTGATGTGTCGATGTTGGATTGTTATGTAATGTGAAATCAGTGAGCAGCCAGCTAGGATACTGTTCTCGTACAAATATTGCAGTCATAGGATCAGTTGCTACCAAGGACTAGTTATATTACCTTTTCCTAGTAATAAGATCCCCAGTGTTATTCTCCTCTGTCGACAAGTGACTTTCACCTTTGCCTGTGTTTCTGAAAACCATGAAAAAGGTCAACATCAATGTATTGTGGCTTGTGAGCAGCCTTTTCTTTAATTCTGTCGTTTTTGGAGGCGGGTTCGAATGTGCCGCTACTAATATCTTAAAAACCGACACTGCACAGTTTCCTGCTTAAAGTAGAAGCACAACAGAGTGATTTCAAAATAACGCACACCAGACCCCATGTCCAGGCAACCAGAATCAGTAGAAAACGGAAACCGCCTTACGTTGTCGACTGAAAACACCCTTCCTTTAAAGTTAAGCCTTGTGGCAGAATCCTTATAATACTGTCGGAATCGAAAAATCGACTCTACTTATGGAGGCATTTCTTGTGACTATGGAACAGGTGTTTTCGCTCTTTCTATTGACCCAACGAAACAACAATGTGGCGATGATATTAATAAGTATGCAAATCAAAGGTGAAACTGATGCAAAGCCCCATGACACATTCTGTGATGAACTTAAGACATAAATCCTGACTAGAAACTTTACCTTCCACGTCTGATGAACCATATAAGCAGAACGATGACAGTGACACACACAACGGCCGCGGCAGCTGCACCAACAATCAACCCAACATCTGCAGAAACTTGGTCCCGGGCTTACGTCAAAAAGGTAAAAGCGGAGATGATAAATTCGACCACATGTAAGGAATGTGAACAGATATTAAACGTAATATGGTCAGAAACTCCGTACAGACTACATTGTATTGAGACAACGGTCTTTGTTTAGACATCACCACGATCTATAGACAGAATACGGCTTCAATTGAGTGTAGCAGCTAATCTGAACAGTCTCTGTTGTTTCTACGTGTAAGGTTAATACTTGACGTTAAGGCTAAGCTGGCACACATCAAAGAATGGCGGTGAAGCCCATTTCTGGTGTCCCCCGCCGTGATATTGTTTGAATATTGCTAAAAGCGGCGTAAAGCTAAACTCACTTGACTTGCAAAATAAGCACACATCTTGACATCTGGATGAAGGTCACAACGATTGGAACATATTGTTTTTAATGGCCCTGTGTGACTGTTTGGAAATAAGTAGTTCTGAAGTACCTTTTGTTTTGACATCTACTGGTTGTCCCTCAGCGCACCCTGCTTCAGTACAGGCGAAGGCAGTCACGCTACAATAGTCCAACAGTTGATTGTGAGGATCGTACTATTTTTCGGAAGGATTAGTTGCCGAAAGCCATTGACTTCAATATATCTGAGTATAAACATTCGCATAACACTGAATATGAACATGATTTTGTAATAATTTGACATATCGATCATTGGTATCAGATACATGAAAGCATATATATAAGTGGTACAACTTACCTTAAAGTGCTGCCTTCTGGTAGCGGGCCATTGCAAAAGTGTGTGGAGGGGTCAGGGAGGCATTGTTCTTCACCAACAGTATATTTAAAGTGGTGGTTGTCTGTAAATTATGATGCGTATGCATGTAAAAAAGTAAAAACCACAAACCCCTTGTCATGACCGTAAGAAATCTGTGTGCAGAAACTGCTGTACGCTTTCCCAAGTGAAGGAATTATACTCAGCGGCTGCTCAGTTAGAGGAATTAGAAAATACTATGACAATTGAAGCAGTTAATGTGGTTCGTATATTTTAGCATGTTTCTTTTTACTTACTATCAGTCGACGTATACCGAAAATGTTTATATGAAAGTTATATCCAAGACAGTAGAACTAGCAGTACAGCAAATAATAACACTTGTTATAGGCCTTGTGCTGGACGTGAGAAGCTTGGTTTAACAAATAACCATAGAGTGAGTGAGTGAGTGGGTGAGTGATATTCAGCAATATGCCAGCTATATGGTGGCTGTCTGTAAATAATCGCGTATGGACCAGACAATCGAGTGATCAATAGCATGAGCATCTGTCCAGGCAATGGGGATACGATGACATGTGTCAACCCAGTCAGCGAGCCTGACCACCCGATCCCGTTAGTCGCCTTGTACGACAAGCATGGGTTACTGAAGATCAATTCTAACTCGGATCTTCACGGGTAAATAAACATAGATAAACTTACACACACTGTTATTAGGTGCAGAAAGACAATACTGTGAACATTTCGTGCAATCCTGCGCAATGTTTTCAAGTGAAATGTTTCAGTCTCTGTTCTCTTGTGTAAATACAAATGGAAAAAAAGTACAAAGTAAACATATGCTTTCAAAGGAAGCAAGTACATGTAAACTTGAGATAGCACAGTCACCGTGATATTAATACCAAATTAATCTCAAGTTACTTGCGCTATACATTGCTACATAAGTAGTTCTTTTGGCTTTTGAAGTACACCAAAACCGGAATGAAAACAAATCTATTATTTACAGCAAATTGTTGTAGACATGATTAAGCACTCGAGTAGTTTCACACTTCCTGTTTTGTGACAACTTGCCCTTTAATAGCTTGACTCAATTAGTACGAAAGATGAAACCAACATGTGATGTTTATGAAGGGAAAGGTTGGACGTAACGCTGTCTTGTTCATATATCCTGCTGTGGCAGCAACTGAGAAATCAGTTATGATGTAGTTACAGAATGATATATAATATCATATGATATGTTCAGTAGTTGTGAAAACAATTGTTTATTGAAGGAAAGGATGGACAGAGGGTCGGACGGCCGTATCTGTTCTATAACAGTGTTCTTGAAAGGAAAGTAAAATGCTTTTGCCATTCTATCAAAATAATATTACAATGTGATTGTATTGGAGGTTGAAATGTTTTACTAAGTTGCTTCAAAGTTCCCAATGAAAAGGTGGCGTATAAATTCATATTAATCTATTCTAGTCCCCTCAACATCATGGAAGGTAGCATGCAGAATATTGAGGTAGGGATAGTTTTTACTACCAGTCAGCCCGGAATCCCAGTCATCCGCTGTTGTACGGTACTGTTCCTGGAAATCACCATTCTTTGATGTGTGCCAGTTTGTGTAATCATCATATGAAAGTCCTGCTGCCGTCCTTCGTTTTCCTGCAACCACACAGCCACGAAGCGTCACATTTATTGCAAAGTAGATAAGAAATTGGACCACATGCTTTCAATACATACGTCATATTGACATGCAATATCCATGTCACGACGATAAATGTTTGATCAATACTTTCAGAAGGTAGACAGGAGAGGAGACAATAACTGAATATGTTTATAATCAAAATATGCGAGCAATATGCAACATCTTCTACTACTGATGTGTAACCAGAAGGCTTTTGAAAATCAAAATGATTCATTGGTCTCTTCTATGTCTATTATAGTTGAGTAAATCAGGGAAATTGGACCTGACTAGTTAAGCATCAGTGAACGACTGAACCGCGTGAGAAGACCATGAACCCTTTAATCTCCGTATAACGTTATTGTTGAGAGTGAGATATAAAGCTGGCGCATTTAACCGTGCTGTAGTGTCTGTTGGTAAAAGTTCTTTTGAAGGAAACTTAGAAACACAAATATTCCGAGTGACAAACCGTTTACCTTTAGTCTAAATTCGATAACCTTTGTAGACCAACATTTTCGTCAAATTGTTTTGTCATCGAAGTCAGTGAAACAAAACCTCATTAATTAATAATTAAATGTTCGTTGTGTTCATCTCATTCATACACCGATCCTAGCATTATTCCATGTCATGGTATGATCCTATCCCCAAACACTTACTTCTCAATGTGTCACTGTTTTGTTTTGTTATAAGAAGTCAAAAGTACTAATAAGATTTTCTTATCTGTGTAGTCATCAACATGACAGCTGAAAAATGAAATTTCAATGCACCAAAAGAAACTGCATATGATTTGAATGATTCACTCACTTGCTGCGTCACACGGTGGATTCACACAAACAAGAAGTCCAGTGATGGTGACCTTTCCGTTCCTATCATCATGAAGACATCTGCCGTCTATGTTCAGCGTAACGCTAGTCAGTGAATTTGATGTCGTAGGTCCACTCACTGAACAATCATTGATGTTTGGAGCTGCACAATATAGACATTCAGTTAATGACTGGATGTAGGTAAACGTATAATCAGCTCCGACAAAAATACATATTATATATACATTTTCTGAGAGTTAAACGTATTTTTTGTCTCTCTCTATATATGGTATATATGAATACAGTGACATGGGTAGCACACTCACGTCCCGCTTTTATAAATTCCTGTAGACCTGACTGCGCACCAGGAAAGGTATTGTGAAGGAAAACCTGAAAAAACCCCATAGTATTTATTAAACTATTTCGCTTGTACTAAAACCTAAACATGCAACAGACAATCTATTAACTAATAATACGTAGCGTTTGAGTAAGCATAACGGTTAAACGCCATTTTGAACAGTATGAAGAGAGGAACGACTTCAGCCTTACTCGCGTAACTCTAGACTTACGTGTCTACATTTCACAACGTTTCGGGATACAGTCAACAGGCTCTTCAAACGTCATTCCGAGGAACTTCTGTTTAGAATTAGTAAGTCATAAAATTCATGGTTTCACTAAAGATTTCAAACGTTTTTGTGGTAGGAATATAAAGGACATTTTGGAATTTGACACATCAGTGACAAAAATGTCCGATGTAATTCTCATTTTAACCTGTATCACATGTTTTGTTTTTTTTATTACAGAAAATTGACATGTCTGTGCATGTGTTTGTGACAGACGCCATTGGTGGAACACCATATCCTCACCGTTCCTCGAACACCTTGATCTATCATAAGCACATCCTCACGACACAGACGTAATGGCATGATCAACTGTGTTGGTAACAGTGTGTGGATAATGGAAAATATACTGGAGAAAATCAATTTTGGTGAAATCTACGAGCACGGGTGTCATGCCCACAAACCTAGAATATTAACGGTCCCTGATTAATCTGGCAGGCCTAAAGGGACACAACTCTGCACAGAGAATGTTCTTGTTATGGTGGAAGTAGCGGTGGCTGAGCGGGTTAGGCGCCTGACTCTGTGTGCTGGCGATTACGTGCCTGACTCTGAGGATGTGGGTTTTAGTCCCCGATGGGACTCAACCCAAAACGTAATAGACATTTTACTTTACTAGAAAAGTTTAATGACAAATATAACTGTTACATATGATACAGAGAATTTCGTCCAACCCCTCCCTCGAAGTATAATGACCCTGATATATAAGCAGTGCGACAACCGGAAACAAAGTATGCTTACCGTGAAATTATATGAGAACTGCGGCGTGACTTCAACTTTTTCCACCCATTTGCAGTCGTCGATATTATCATACGTCATGTTTCCTCTCTTTGCGTTACTCATTGATGTTTGCTGATCAAAGAAACAGTAAGATGAACTCAAACAATAGATATCTATCAGAAAATATGGTCGCTATCTTGTGTAAACACAATGCCACAAGAGAGCCAATACACATACAAAACTGTGGTATGACAGACGAGGACAGTTGTAAAGGATCACGACGTGACAGTATACTGAATTTAAACCCGCAATAGAGGTTTCAGGTACAAATCTTAGGCACACAAAGATTTGAGTGTTGAATTTGTCGGGTGAGTTTCCTTAATATTGGCAACAAAATGTCTTTTCATACATCATTATATGCCCATATATGTAGTAACTGTATCAATCAGAAATCACCCGACAATACCAATAATAGGAAAGAATCTGTACCAATATAGTGTTAACGGTTTTAAGAACCAGAAAATCAGTTGAGCCAAATCTTTATTTTGTTCTCATACACAACGGACACACGCCAACTAACTCTTACAGACATATCGACACATGGTCTATAAACAGTAACAAATTACGTTTGAGTAGTAGATCAAAGTTGAACTTATGATTTTTCCGTTTCTTCCATCCTTCTGTTTAGGACACTCCCAGGAGAGCTGTATGTTGTAAACGGCTTGGGTTTCTGTTATAATGAACTGTACAACTTCGGTTGGCGCTGAAAGAAAACAAATCAAATGAAGTATATCATATAGAATTACTTCATATTATCTTCTGATCTTTGACAAAAGTTATTTTAACTTTCATTTCGTCACAAACTACAATAATTTAGCAGTTTCCCCTCAAACATTTAATGTTCATACCCAATGAACTGCAATACCGTAGGTCAGTTCTGATAATACTACATATCGATATCCCGATCTCTACAGTATTTGAACATAGAGAATGTTCTGGGTTTCATTTTCTTTTTATTGTTTGGTACAACGTTTCAGTGCTTGTTCTGGCCCTGTCATCAGGTGGAACTAAAGAACATACATACATACATACATACATCTCTAACCCGTGATGTCACAATGCTTATGACATCTCAATGCAATGACGACGCAATACATGTGGAGGTGATAATGGATACACCTAGCATGGCTAATAGGAATACACGATATCATCAATACATAAAATATTGAGTATTACAGTATGCTGGGGTATGATCGTGTGTTTGGACAAAATGCCCTTGGGTTTCAGGTGGTGTCTGATTAATGTGCATGTGCATGTGCATGTGCATATGTGATAAACATTACTACAGGATACAGCTCTAATGCCTCATGTCTGTAAACCACAACTCACCCGACTCTTCAGTCACCACCACACCAGACGAGACGTTACCAGATCCCCCTTTCATCGTGAATGCCTGAATGTAGAACTTGTATTCCCAGAAACTTGACAAAGTGTTCACGGTATACATGGTATGGTCATAACCTAAAGAAAAAGATTGATATGATACATATTCGGCATAATATTGTTTAACCATTTGAACTGTCACAGTTAAATCGTCTTACAGATAGTAAACGATAGTGTTGGTTTCTTGCTGTTTTGTTGTTGAACGTCGCACTCAGCAATATTCCAGCTATATGGCGGCGGTCTGTAAATAATGGTGTCAATCCAGTGATCAACATCACGAGCGTCGATCTACGCAATTGGGATACGACGGCATGTGTCAACCAAGTCATCGAGTCTGACCACCCGATCCCGTTAGTTGCCACATACGACAAGCATGGGTTACTGAAGACCAATTCTAACCCGGATATGCACGGGTAAGTAAACGATAGTGGATGATATTAAGATAGTGGATGATGTTAACCAACGATAGTGGAATATTATATAAATATAAATATTAGTCAGGGTGTTACTTAGCCTTTATTTCTTAAGACTTATCTTAAATGTTTGGGGCAAGGTAACGAATAAGTATTACGTTTATCCTGAGTATCAGAGATGTAAATGTTACTTATATTTACACATACGCATATTGCAGAACATTCGGAAGACCTACCGGTTAATACTGTGCTGTCAATGTACTCATAGAAGGAAGTGTTTTCATTCTTCTCATAAACACTGATGTTGTAGTGTGTACCTCCGGGCCGTGGTACCGGTGGTTCCCATGTTACCGTGATGCTGTTGGATGTTGTACTGTTTACTGTAAAGGCAGTTGGTTCACTGGCAGCTGGAATATGGAATATAGAAAGATCCGTCGTATAGGAAACAACTACCGTGTTTTTGTATGTAGGCGACGGTAGTCAAATAAAAACTTTCAAATTTAAGTAGCAAGAAATATGTACCTCTTTGAATGTGTGCCAAATAAATTCAAAGCATGTCTTCACAATCAAACATTTAAATCTCCATTGACGGCGCAATATAGTTTGTATGCATGTACATCAGGGTTGTGGGAAATATAGCCGCTTATATAAATGTACGTTGTGAGAGGATGGCCTGCTGAATGTTTTCCAGGGTTTTAAATGAAACAGCAGTGGAAAAGATTGTTATTGGGAAGAAATAGTTACCTTCTTCTTCGGTTGATACCGATAACCTGCTGTCGGTCCCTCTTCCTTCCTGGTTATAGGCTGCTACCGTGACATCATACTCAGTATCTGGAAGGAGTCCTGTGACCGTGTAATTCACTTCATAGATGGGATTGTTGATGTCAGATTCAGATATAGGGACGCTTGTTATGTCTTCACAGTTTCCACCTGCCTCCATTGAAACCTTGAGAAAGGTTAAATCATTGACGGTAAATGTTAAATGTTATAGTAGGAGAAATAAAATATCTTACGAATTTCCAAAAGTGTATGAGATATTAGTTTACTGTAATAGGTGTATGTAAATAATGAAATAATGAACGAATGCAGAACACATTACAGCCGTCGAACATGGAGATGAGTTGCATGTAGACGATATCTAATCGTCTGACCAGTAACTCGTGCTGCAGTAGCTAATGAGAGTTTGCAGCTTTTGAGCTCCATTTCGGTGTCAGATCAATCGATCCGGAACGTCACGTAGCCAGTTCATACACAATGAATGAAAGTAAGTCACAACTGTATGATGAGTAGAATAAACAAGATAGACAGAGATTAAACACCCTCAAACTAGTTATGACACTTTATGCACACACCATGCGCTACTGCGATTTATACAAAGTATCGGATGCCTTTACGTCTTACAGATATCAGAGTGAGTTCTTGAATAGAATGCTTGTTGCCAACATTTATCTTTGTCTAAAAATTGGTATTACATTCTATAAACCTCTGTTCAATGTGAGAGAAACATATACTACTGGAATAAATTAACTGTGCGTTAGTTGATGTTATATCATTTTCAGTTTTTAAATGCAAAAAGATAATAACATGATCACTGTTTAACTGTTGACAGGATAATATCGAAATCTGTATGATTTGACTCAAGGAACGTGGCACGCCCTGAAGAGATGTGGTGTCAAAGGTCAATTCACAAATTCAGTATCCTGTGTGTCCACCATGACGCTTGACAACGACGATGGTGACACTAAGCGATTGAAGAAAGCTTTGGCAATGCTGTTCCATGTCTAAACCAAAGCTTGTCCCAATCCATCTGACGTCAATAACTGATTCTGGGCTTGACGTAAATGTCGCTCCAATTCGTCCCAAGCGTGCTCGATAGGGAACAGGTCTGGAGAAACAGCTGGCCAGGGGAGTACCTGAATATTTTGCTTTCGCAGGAAATCTGTCACAACACGAGCGACATGTGGACGGGCATTATCTTGCTGAAACGTGAAGTTAGTCACTGTCCTTGAATGAACGGCTGCGCATGAGGCCCAATGATCTCATCCCTGTATTGCAGACCTGTCAGATTGCCAATTGACAATGACAAGTTGTGTCCTATCATGAGATGTGATGGTTCCCCATGCCATAACGCTTCGCCACCAAACTGTCGACGTTGAACAACGCACGCGTCAGATTACTGTTCACCTCGACGTCTGTAAACCCTTGCCCTGCCATCTGAGCTGTCCAGATGAAATCTCGTCTGGTCAGTGATCAAAACACCATCCCAATCTCCTGTACCGTAGATGCTGTCTGCACCAAGCACGACGTGCCTGTCGGTGACGTTGAAGCGGGCCGTCGAGATCGGATGTTGTGCTGCATCAGCCGGTTCCGTACAGTCCTCAAACTTATTGGACGTAAGCCAGGATTGGTCTGAGAAGTCAAACTGGCAGTCTGGAATCGATTCCTTAGATGGGTCAGCCGAATGTGGTTGTCTTGCTGATGTGACGTCTCGCGTGGTCGGCCGGTCCGAGACAAATTCCCATTATATCGAAAACGTCTCTATTGAGATGAGATCGTGTTTCGATGGACACCAAAATGTCTAGCCATTTCATTTTGGTCCATTCCAGTCTCCAGCATACCCACGGCACGGAGGCGCTGATTTTCTGTAAGTCGTGGCATGACGTACGCGCAGTTGAGGTTGAAAGTAACGTTAAGAGGCTAGAGAATAATCAACCCTTCTTCAATTTTAAATATATGTGAACCTCAGATGTCAAAAGCATGCAAAATGTGAGTAAGTTCATTGTGCACAAAGCGCAATACATGTCATCATATTTCATGCAAAGTGCTTTGCTACATGTTTATTTAGGGTTATTTTTATAAAATGATAAATACATTTCTGATGGTAACGGTAAAAGTATTCTTTCAAAGGAGTTTGACCTGTATGTAGTAACGTTTGCGAATCATTGGAAAGTATAAGGTTATCTCCAATTGAATTTATTTCGACTCTGTAGTGCTATTCCTTTGCCCCTGCAAGTCAACAAAACTTCAAAACTCACATTTTCTTTGCATTCCGTACAGTTGAAAACGATCTGCTGTTTACAGGTTCCGTTAAACACCTCCAGGCGGTATTGGAAGAGGTCACCATTGGTTTTGTTTGGCCGCTTCCAAGACACTGCTACAGTACGCGATGTCAGTGCCGTAGTCTTGAAACCCTCCACGTGATCGGCCTCTGAAAGAAATGTTGTTTACTGAAATGGGTTGGATAGGGGAAGAGGTTGGTCTCTTTGAAATCTGGAAAAAGCATACTCGTTTGTACCCCAAACGAAGTGACATGTTTGTGACACGAAAGCTTGCTCACTATAAAGCGTATAATTGTACTACTAATAGTTTTAGGTAGCATAATTGATACCTAAAGACTTGCTTGTCTGAATGTTCTATTCGCAAATTTCACATGTTATCAGTGAAGTCCAGGATCTGACATACTGTTTTCATAAATTTCCAGTGGATTAAGGAATTAAGTCTTCCTGTAATGACTCAAGCTGGTTGTTCTCTAACATTGTCGTTTCACAAAATCGTCAGATACAGATCGTGTGTACAAAAGTGTTAATTCATCTTGTTCCAAAAACAACTCAAGAAAAACTCAAGAAGCAATCCGCATCAGAGGACCCAAACATCAATCAGCAGTGATCAAGGCTATCACATACCTCAAGTTTACCATCCATCCTTCTGAATCATTATCTAAAATCTCACGTGACACCACAATCAGCGGTGCGTACAATAGATACTAGTATATAAATGCCCTGAACGGGAGATTAAATTACAATTGTATTGGCTTGATGTAGTACAGCCTCAACAAAACTACTTACGTGATGCCCTGACTCGAATAATCTGAGTGTAAGGGACACTTTGATGTTGATTACTCAGCGTTGTTATCGTCAAGTTGTACTGGTAGTTGGGCACAACTCCACTAAATGTCGTAATCGTGTCAGGTGCAGTGACGCCATTGGTCCGGTTGTAGCTCTCATCAGTTATCCCCTGTAGCTGGACCAGGTAGGACTCGACATCACCGTCAGCCTTGAGGAAGTCAATAACGATGTCCGGGGCTGTGAGGTTGGTCTTGTCGCCTAGCCCACCCACGGTGTCAGGTGCTGATGATAGCCAACAAAAACACATCGATTACAAACATATTACATGTAAATGACATTTAAAACTACTGTGTAAAATGAACAACGACAGTTTCTATTCAGTAATTTCGAGCTACACGGCATTTGTGATATATTCGTCGTGGACGCACTTTCATGACTTACGTTTCGATTCCATAACCATCAGGGGACATAACCATCCCACTAACGGCAAAGACAAGCTGAAGGCCTTACATCCCCACGCTGAAGGTTACACAAAACCAAATATTTTCCCATAGACTTCTATAGTAACGTTATATATTTTAAAATCATCCAGGCTGTCAACCACATGGGTATAGTCTGGCCTTTAAACTACAATGAAAACTACAAATTCCGGCTAACATATCCTGTTAATTTTCCCAGCACAGGAAGCTGAACACATCAACCCCAGTTCCGTACCAAATGTCACCTACTGGAAAATATCTGTATACACAATAAGCATAAGTCATGGTGATAAAAATGACAGCAGCACTAAATACTTAATTATTATAAAATTGTGGTGAGTTTTCATTACTGGATGGATTTGCTTTTAATAAACCCCATAAAAATATTACACTATTTCATCCAATCACAGCTGTCACATGTCTCTATCTCTTCAGATGTTTACATAGGTACTCGCTCAGGGAGCATGTGATTCTGATTTAGTGTAGTGGAACCTAACTATACAGTGCGATCTATTCATACAAATACATGTACGTTATTCCGCCGTCTGTGAGCTATCTAGAGCTGTACGTACTTAGATATCTGGTGAATGAATTCTTTTGTTAATAAATACCACGCAGATACAGAAGATTTAACGTCTGTTATTTCATACATGGCTACCTACCACGTCCTGTGGGCGTGATATTTAAAGGCTTTGATGTTATTGACATGTTAGCACAATTACATTGACAGCAACACATGGATTAGAATTTTCCTTTTTTAAGTAAGAAACAAATACCAAATTTATTATCTTATCCAAAATATCATTCCGAATCCATATAAAGCTATTTTATGATATTTTGTATTTGTTTGAGTTGCATTGTAGCAGTTGGTGGTATAGCATGAAAACGGTATTAGGATCTATACCGAAACGTCGCCATTGTTAAAATAAAGAAGTTGATCATCCATAGAGTTTTGTCCTTTGATATTTTGTAGACGAATATTTCGCTTTTCGCTTTTCAAGTTTAAATCTAACATAGTTTCGTATAAGATATATAAATGTTACAACTTTTAATCCTCTACGCCATTTGTCTTAGAAGCAATCAGCTGGTCTTGTGACATATTAATGCGCTACACTCACGTTGCGAGACAGGTAGTTTCATACACTGATGGTATATCCCTTCCAGGCTATGCAGATTTGCAGTTATGAACAAATATTTTCGTGGATGTCGAATTATTATTTAACAATCGGTTTTACAATTTCGTTGCATTTACGATTCGATGAAGGTTGTAACACTTCTATTTAACAAGTGAAAGTGGTTTTCCGTTAGAAATTGTCACTGTTGAAATGCAACAATTAAACGTTCCATTCCGTTTTACGCACTCATTACTGTAGGTTCCGCTGAAAGGCCAGTGGTCTTCTCGTCTCTTCCCTGCAGGTATCTGATCTGTGTCTCCACAGACACATTGTACTCCCTCCCCGGCGTGAGCTCTGTGATGGTTGTGGTCCTGCTGTCTTTCCCTACAGTGAAATTGTTACGGATGCTGTCGCTAATCACAGACACTTCATATCCGGTAACAACGGAGGGAGAAGGCGATTCCCAGGTTGTTGTCATTGTGGTTGTGTTGTCCACTGTGACATTGATAAATGTAGGTTTAAGCTCGTCGACTGAAATAAGGAAACATATTCTTGTCACTACTGACATCTGATAGACACATATCATCGTCACGTATTCATACAAGATAATAATGTAACTAGTCTAAATAAAATCAGAGAAGCCGCTTCGAAGTCTTGGCCATTAACGATCCTCTTCAGGGCATACTTATAGCTATTCTTATGGAATACAAGACTGTTCAGCAGATGTCGACTTCATCATGCTTAAAAGTACATTTGGTTGGTTTCTTTACAATTATGTGGGACTTTTCAAAACAAATATCTTCAGTACACTTTGCCAAAATGTTACTTTAAAGAACAAATGAAATTTGTGTGCAATTATACAATATAAAATGATAGCCTCGCAACATATGTATTAATATAAGCACACTACTTATTCAATAGAAGTTACTGACAGTGAAAATGAATAATGTTTGCAATTCCTCACTGCTGACACAGATGGTGTCCCTTCTGTAGAAGCCCAGATCACACCGACATCTACCACCGTGACAGCTGGCGTCGCCATCAATACATGTGTCACTCTCTGTGCATGTTTGGTTATAGCCAACCTCTGGAATAAATGATTCAGCCGTTCTGATACACCAACCATAGAAGGATACAGTCAGTCGTCTCTCCGGTGAGATCTAATGTTGTAATCCATGAATATTGGACGACTGGCAAGGGGGTGGTTATCAAGATGTGGCACGAAGGCAGTATCAAGTACTTCCTGTTGATAACGTCGACCATTGAGTGTCCCAGGTACTGTAATGAGGCCTTACAGACTCACGAAACGCAATATGACTTTCATCAGACCAGTGGATCCCTACGCTATGTCCTCAAGTTGAGGGTTTCTCGGAGACCGCACCACGCCAAGCGTTCCTGACTGTACATATCTTTGTTGCTGATTAGGGCCATCGCTTTCTCGCCTTAAAACTCGGCCGCGAGACAGCGATAACACGAGACGAGAAGGAAAGCGATGGCCCTAATCCATGGTGGCTGATTTGGGCCATCGCTTTCGCGCCTTAACATTCTGAGGCGAGAAAGCGAGAAAGCGATATCACGAGACGAGAAAGCGATATTACGAGACGAGAAAACGATAACACGAGACGAGAAAGCGATAGCACGAGACGAGAAAGTGATAACGCCAGACGAGAAAGCGATAACGCGAGACGAGAAAGCGATAGCGCGAGACGAGAAAGCGATATTATTGCGCGAGAAAGCGATAGAGCGAGAAAGCGAGAAAGCGATATTACCCACAATTCAGTCCTGTCTGCGTCCTGGTTTTCAGTAATGTTCTTGCCCATGAACTTGACGTTTAGAGAATATTAATACAGGTGTAGACTTTCCTTTGGCATGCTATTTGAACGTAGTCATATCATGCAATAGTCATATCGTGAAAAAACGGAAACATTCATTTTTTGAAGTGACTAAGGGAATTACATATTTTATGCCATGACTGAATGCGAATTGTCTTACCAAATTAATGACACCAACCAATTAAATCATGATATTGTGTGACCAATGTGTCGGAAGTGTCAGATGAAAGGGCGGGGCCTATGACAAATAAGTCATTGTGATAAGTATCTTTTCATGGTGAGTGGCCAGCACTAAGACAAGCTAATACTGTACATTTAACTACATCAAAACCATCATCCTAAAATAAAAACACTGCAACACCCTACCACATTAAGTGATCGAGTTGCGATTTATGCCGCTTTTAGCAATATTCCAACAAATTGGAACTTGCGTTTCTTTTGCAGCTCAGTGTATTACATATACATCACATTCAGAGAGCTTAGAAGTATGTGACACTATAAATGAGCCGTATGCAGACAATTCTATAATAATTATCTGTTCTCGCTGTCTGGCTATAGGTGGAGGAATTAGAAATGAGGCATGGGAACTTAACCATTTATGTTTATGTCACTTTATTGTATTTCAGGGTGATCAAAATACAGCTGTAGTTTCTTTGAAATAATACAGACGATGAAATTTATTAACTGAAGATCTTCACCTACATGAACCCAAATCGGTCCTACCCAAAGATAGAGGAGACGCACGTGACAATAAAGCACCTTGGTACCTCAATGTAGTAACAGAACAATTCCACAGTCAATGGTGTAATCTAAGCAAATAAAATGCTGCAGTCAAACGTTCGTCTAATCAAAGCTGAAAATAGTACGCAGTTAAACGCTGGTCTAGCCATATAGTGAACTTCTCTGAGTGGCATTTAGAAGTTGGTTTGCTGAACAACGGGGAAAGTTCAATGGATATACAGCTTATTTATTATATTGTAAGCGACGTTTTGGCGTAGCTACTAACGCCGTTATCAAGCAAGTGATTTACAATACTGCAGGAAAGGCTAACATATACATGAGTAAAGTTTGTTCAGTAAGTCGATTGATGATTGACGCAATAGAAATGGCGTATGATGAAGCCAAGTGTCCATGTCATATTACTCCGTAAATAACAACCGTTTGCTCTGTATCGTGTTTATCTCATATCATACATAACATCAATAAAAGCCTGTTATAAATATATTATTGAGACTGTTTCATTGACATATGTATGCAGAAAGTTGATGTGTAAAGCATTCCGTCTGTGATATGAGGACTGCCATCGTTACATATAATACTGATTTACTTATCTCTAAACGGTGCATTTATATACAGAATATATACACCTCAAAGTTCCTAAATTTCAAAGTTCCATTAAATATTTCGCTATCCAGCTTTTCGGGAATCTAGAAGAAATTTATGCCAACGAAATTGCTCAAACACTCAAACATTGTATCTTATAGAATTTTGTTTACTACCTCAGATTTTAATGTTTTAAAAAACTTAGCAAAGTTTATAAATGTTATCTTTTCAACTATAACAAAAGTTAGACAATAGACATGTTATACCAACAACTGATTTTCTACAATATATTGTTATACTCCGCCGCCATTTTGACTGTATGAAATAATTGATGTGTGTGATATGTACTCTTATACCACCATTATGTTTGTTTCTAGAAATCAGGGCCTGTTTTATGAGTCCTGTTTTTCACTGGACTAAGCCACACATTTGCCTACTCCCCATGTTACCTGTGAAGATCCGTGTTAGATTGGTCTTCAGCAACTCATGCTTGTCGTAAAAGATGACTAACGGCATCGGGTGGTCAGGCTCGCTGACTTGGTTGACAATGTCATCGTAACCCAACTGCGTAGATCGATGCTCATGATGTTGATCACTGTATCGTCTGGTCCAGACTCGATTATTTACAGACCGCGCCGCCATATAGCTGGAATATTGCCTAGTGCGGTGTTAAACAACAGACCAACCAAACCAACTCCCCGTCGGGCTTTATTGCATTCAGTGATGGAATTTTATACACCCTGTGCCTTTCATCTGGTCTTTTAATGTGTGCATATTTCACACATATATATTTCTACTATTATGTGAAAAAGGTATTGTTCTAAATGTATGTGCCGTATATGTCTGTCTGTCCCCATATCCCAACTATCGACTTGAGACAGTGCCACAAGTTATCCACCGACGTGATAGGTGTGTTTAACAAAAGTAATAAAATTATTACTTGGGGAATAAAGCACTATATCATAAAACACCTGTATATTGAAAATAATTTAGTTTAGATTGGGAGTTGAGAAGTTGGACGTAAGAGGGTTGGGAAGTTGATTGCGTATAAGTACAACTAAGTAAGTGGTGTAAAGTATTTGTGACTTATTGTGCAGAACAGTTAATCTGTTGCTGATAAGCTAATAAGGAATCTACTTAATAGATGAATAGGGGTTAAATGTTAAAAAGTAGGGCTGGGGAGGCAGGGTACGGTGTTTATGTTTTGGTTGTGAAACATGCGGTGTGTGGCCTTGACATTGTGAGTTAGTCTGGATAATCGAGTTTACACTGTAATGTGTGGCAGGATAGGGATGTTTTAAAGGGTTTATTCTGAATTTAAGGGTTCCTTTTTTTGTTTGGTGTTTTGATATTTTGTTTTCAGACCCAGTCTGGTAGTTATTGAGTAATTTGGTTTCTTCTAGTAACTACTAGCTAGTAGGTACTAGTCTTTGCACCTATGGCTTTTTTTATGTATTGTAAGGAGTTTAGTTGTGGATAGAGAAGGACAGGAGCGACTCACTCCAGTGTGTACATGATAAATGTTTTCTAGATGTGTAGGAGGGTTTATTTGTCTGCATCCAGTGAATGTCACCTATTGCTCTCATTCATTCGATTTGAATCGAGGTGAGGTGAGGTGAAATTTGAACGTCGATTTCGCTCATATGACGAGAATCGATTTGACATGAGTTGACCAAGTTTTTATAAACAAGATGATACGGGTAGATAGTTCCATATATTGAACGAGTTTCAACGAAAATGTCACGAAAGGCTAATTGGATACACCAATCAGCTTTTCAAAACCTATGCGACCACGTCCAGCTGTAGCCTTTACTTTACTTTTATTCTCAAACGACCACCAATGGTGGTATAAGAGTACATATCACACACATCAATTATTACATACAGTCAAAATGGCGGTGGAGTGTAACAATATATTGTAGAAAATCAGTTGTTGGTATAACATGTCTATTATCTAACTTTTGTTAGAGAAAACTTGGGGGAAAAGATGGGTTTTGATAGATATTTTGATGGCAGAACGGGTTTGAAATTGGCGGACCAAAATGTCGCTTACATTATAATAAATAAGCTGTATATCCATTGAACTTTCCCCGTTGTTCAGCAAACCAACTTCTAAATGACATCCAAAAAAGTTCACTATATATTGCTAGACCAGCGTTTAACTGCGTACTATTTTCAGCTTTGATTAGACGAACGTTTGACTGCAGCCTTTAATTTGCTTAGATTACACCATTGACTGTGGAATTGTTCTGTTACTACATTGAGGTACCAAGGTGTTTTACTGTCACGTGCGTACCTCTATCTTTAGGTAGGACCGATTTAGGTTCATGTAGGTGAAGATCTTCAGTTAATAAATTTCATCGTCTGTATTTATTCAAAGAAACTACAGCTGTATTTTGATCACCCTGAAATACAATAAAGTGACATAAACATAAATGGTTAAGTTCCCATGCCTCATTTCTAATTCCTTCACCTATAACCAAACAGCGAGAACTGATAATTATTATAGAATTGTCTGCATACGGCTCATTTATAGTGTCACATACTTCAAAACTCTCTGAATGTGATGTATATGTAATAAACTAAGCTGCAAAAGAAACGCAAGTTCCAATTTGTTTGAAATGTAAGTGTTATCCACCATTCCATTAAGAAGGAATTGAACTGATGGCGTTATTCTTGAATCTGTTCATATATATATTGTAAAATCAGGCAGATTTGACGCCCTTTTCTCAAGATAATGATTGTTTACTCTTAACCTATGATGACGACATACCTCTCTTCTTTTGGACTTTGTACAGCGTATACATGATTAACAGCCAAACTATGTAATTATGATTTGTTTTTGTAAGGGAGAGGTGTTTATATAAGCTTATAGCTTGTTCACCGATCCCTATTCAATATAATTTGAATAAAAATATGTTTAAACCAACTGATGGCGTACAATATGGCGCCACAATAAACCTAAAACATGAATATTGCTCTTAGGTGACAAATATTTCAATTCACACACTCACTCAGTGATTTTATTTTAGGATGATGGTTTGGATGTGGTTGATTGTCTTAGTGCTGGCCACTCATGGTGGCCATGAAAATATACTCGTCACAGTGCCTTATTTGTCATAGGCACTCCGACACATTTGTCACACAACATCATAATTCAAAGAAAACCATAGAAAAGAACCAATCAGACTACAAAATTCGTAAACTTTTGGAAGCAGTACACATCAAGAAGATACGATCCGCCCTCAACAGAGATGAAGGATAGTACATTCCCAATGCCTACCATCACTTGATAAAGTAATCAATAATATTTCTTGTATACATTATCTGTTTCAATTCAACTATGTACATCAACCCCATTTATTGTATATACATCCACCTGGCTTCCTATAAGTTCTAATTCAGTCCTTGTATATCACCCTTCTGGCTTCCAATCAACTTACTCTATCACTTCTACAAGCGTTGTACATCAACCTCATTTATTGTATAAACAACTCATTCCCTATCTACCGTAATAACAACTCATGTATATATTCTCTCAATTTGTTACTCATGTATCACTTGCTTGACAATGAAATTAGAATCTATGTCGAAACGTCGCCTCCACAGAATAAAAGAAGCTGTATATCCATATAATTGTCATTATTCTTCATCAACTCAACTTCTAAAATGCCAATCAAAGAAATAATTCAATTGGTGGGTGTGATTAAGTTGGTTGAGACAATTCGAATCCAGTCATGTCATAAAATATGTAATTCCCTTAGTCACATCACAAAATGAACGTTTCCGTTATTTCACGATATGACTATTGCATAAGTGCAAATTGCATGCCAAAGGAAAGTCTACATCTGTATTAGATATTCTCTAAACGTCTAAACATACAACGCCATTCATGGGCATGAACATTACTGAAAACCATTTAATACTATCCAGAAATTACGAATGGCGACTGAGCTCCCGTTTGTAGTCGATGCTGCAGACAGCACTGAATTGTGGGCAATATCGCTTTCTCGTCTCGTCTATCGCTTTCTCGTCTCGTGCTATCGCTTTCTCGTCTCGTGTTATCGCTTTCTCGTCTCGCGTTATCGCTTTCTCGTCTCGTGATATCGCTTTCTCGTCTCGTGATATCGCTTTCTTGCTTTCTCGCCTCCGAATTTTAAGGCGAAAAAGCGATGGCCCTAATCAGCCACCATACATATCTGTACGGATTCCGAATTCCGACTCTGTCATCGCGGTCACTGTTCTTGACGAATCCTTTACAACACCAGAGGCCACGTGCCTCAACACAAGTATGGTCAATATTCAAGTTAACACCCATCTTGCGACAGGACATCCGCACGTCATGCATGTCAGTAACTTGCCATCGTGTAATTTCTGAAAGTAACGTCTTTCCATGTTAAAAAGTAAATTTTAGTGATGCCGTATTTCAAATTCGTTCAGAAAACGGTAGTGCACATACTGCACTCAAGAAATTGATACCCTACTGACCTTGGCGTTGTCCCTTTACAGAAGCATTACAGTATGCTAAGGTAAACTATGATCGCCTGTCTATTAATGCACACAAGTTTATGATAATCATTACTACGGAATATAGTACACAGAGAGAGGCGACTAAAGGGATCGGATAGTCTCGCTGACATGGTTGTTGCACGTGACCGTTTCTGACTTGCTAAGATAGATGCTCATAATGTGAATCACTGAATTGTCTGGTCCAGATTCAGATATTTACAGACCGTCATCACATCGCTGGAATATTGCTATTATATATAAAAACCAACAAAATGCATTTCTCTATTGTTTTTTTCCTAATCATTTATGAACACATTATTAAGCCATTGTTTCTGTGTCAAATTTCAGTAATCCAATGGAATTTTCAAAAGGAAATTAAAATATATATTCTTTTTACACGATTCAAGTTTTGTTTTCATCAAAGCAAACGATGCAACAAGGGATTAGGTTGAAATATGTTAATTGCTTTCGGACTCTAAATTGAAATAAATCCAATAACTTATATTCGATGGATACTATGTGCTAAAGGCTTGAGAAAATACTTCTAGTTCGAGGTTGATAAACCCCTGTTAAAGCATCGTTTCGAGTGACAGTATGGTATCCAGCTCATAGCATTACGCAAACCCAAAATAAACAGATCATTAAAACAATATAATCATATATTGTTCACAATAAGTTTTGTCACATACTTGTTCTGTAATCGTCACGGATGGAAGGTAGATTTTGAGACCTTCCATATCGGGTGATTGTTCGCACAAGAGAGACGTTATATATTGTTCCTTCTTCAAGACCAACAAACGTGTAGGTCTTTTGATCAGTGCTTTTGGTTTGCATCACCTCGCCACCTTCTGATATGTTTAGGTGATATATATCAGTGTAATTGTTGGCATCAATAGCAGTCCAGGTGACGGTGATGTTGTCGGTTCCTAAGGTTGAGGAATCAGTTAAATTTGGTGATAAAGATGTATCTGGAAAAAGACAAACACATACAGAAATATAGAGGAACAGAAAAACGTTCCTTCTCTATCTGGAGTGGGTGGTGGATGAGAGGGAGAAAACATATGTCGAGTATCCCGTTAGAGAAGTAATGTCCGTCTTAACCTGATCGTGATGCAGCAACACTGTAAGGGCAGATATAGAGACAGAAACAGTATAGGAGCATCCCATTTGAGAAGTTATGTCCGTCTTAAACTGATTGTGATATAGCAACACTGTAAGGGCAGATATAGAGACAGAAACAGTATAGGAGTATCCCATTAGAGAAGCTATGTCCGTCTTAAACTGATTGTAATATAGCAACACTGAACCCACAAGTTGTGATACACATTTCATTCCGTGATTTTTCTGCATCATTTAAAAACTTTCTGCTGTTCACATCGCGATAAATGATGATGTTTCTTTGAGAGGCATTTTTAGAAGTTGTAAAGATGAAGGAAAACCAAGTTCTATTGATAGTCAACTTCTTTAGTGCAATGAGTTTCGCTGTAGATACTAACACCATTATCAAGCAGGTGATGATAACGGTGTCAGTACCTACGTAACACCATGTTATCAGGAAGTCAGTATAAGGTGATGATAATCTCAGTGGGTGTTAAACCAGCTTAGTCCTAGTACACCGTACATACATATACAAACGTCGCATATCATTCTGAAGCACGACGGCAATAAACAAAATGTGGTACTTGTGCATGTATGTATGTATGTATGTATGTATGTATGTATGTATGTATGTATGTATGTATGTATGTATGTATGTATGTATGTGTGTGTATGTATATGTGTATGTATGTGTGTGTGTGTGTACGTATGTACAGTTATTCATTCATTTATTCATTCATTTAGTTATTTAATTATTGTCCCCCACGGATTTTACAAATACATCAAATTGAATCACAATAGCCAGAGAGAGTGAGAGAGAGAGAGAGAGAGAGAGAGAGAGAGAGAGAGAGAGAGAGAGAGAGAGAGAGAGAGAGAGAGAGAGAGAGAGAGAGAGAGAGAGAGAGAGAGAGAGAGAGTGTGCGTGTGCGTGTGCGCACATTTATGCTGTACTTACAACTGATACAGGCCTGACCGTTATGGTATCTGCCATCAACACACAGACACCTGGAGACAAGAGAGTTGCAATAGACGGTGTTATTATCGTCATCGCATTGGCTGGTGCTGCAGTTACCCCCATATACTTGCTCTGAAACATATATCGTCAACTGTTAGTCTTATGACATGCCCACTTATGGTGAAGGCGTGTACAACTAAATGCTATCGACACTTTACTCGGCTGAAGCAAAGCTGTTTAATGTGGAAATCTGGTTATGTTGTATGGTGCTGATGAATGTCGACAGACAGGCTGACACTCAATGCTGATATCACTTTATACCTGAATGTAAAAGTCGGTATTGTTTTCACTGAGTTTAATCTGTAACACATGACCTTCATGTGTAACTTTATGTGATGAGCAGTGAACTTATCAGTGTTGAATCACAAAAGACATGAAACTGCGATGGAAGTGAACGGATTGTGGTACTGACCTGTGTCGCATTATTATACTTTAGATAATAATATCAATAACATTCGCACATACTACTGTACACAAAGTGCGTAAGTAAGTGAGTATGGTCTTGCGCCATTTTAGCACTATTCCCGTAACATCACTGCACCAGTAATGGGCTTCATAAATTTGGATCCATGTGGATAATCGAACCCGGGTCTTCCAAATGATGAGAAATGCTTTAATGTTCAAGTAACCCTCAGAAAATCTCCGCAGGTAAACCGAATTAGAAAAATACAGTACCTTAACACTGGTATTGAACATATATCCTGCAAAACTATAGGTCTGATCCCCGAGCAAAGTTTCTTTAGCACAAGATAAATCTTTACATGTACGGGATATTTAGTTCTTATATCACAAGTATTTAGTTAGACTTGGCTCGAGCGGTTGACAAAAACTGGGGCTGTCAATATCACCATACATGTGGCAGATGTATCATGAAATGTGCCACCGTGTTAATATACACATTTATATCTATGTAAATTTAATATACCTTTTGGTATTTAAAACATACACGTTTGTCACAGTGCAACCCATCTTTCCCTTACTCTCAACATTGTATCCAGCACAGGTATTTGGCCCAAGGTGTCAAAATCAACTTATATCATCAAACTATACAAATTAAGGTATATAATAAAACGTTATCATATGTAACTAATATTATATGCGTGACAGAAAAGAAAGGTCGCCAAAATATATTACAGGCTTATAGGATTTGGGGCATGGCCCAGTTCTAGGTGTTTACACGGCAAGAGGGGAGGAGTCAAGTAACAATTTACATGAATTTGTCGAGGTGGGCACAGGCAACTGTGAAAAGAGATTTATTTAAATATTATTTAAAATACAAGTATATCATATCTTAACACAAAAACACATTTAATCTGACAGTGAATCCCCTCGGAAATTCTTTTATTCTTGATTGACAGTGAGACCTTCAGCCGAGTAATAAAACCATGAACCAAACATTCATTAATCTTGCTAATGCCGATAAGGGGGGTGGGGGGTGTGTTCTCATGTATCTGAATAGGACCGGGCGGTTTTGTTGTTATTCTTACTGATAACCCAAAGATGGTTCACCTGCAAAGGGAAACTGTTCAGAAGGGACTCTTCTACATTTTATACCCAGCCCTCTCATATGTTCCCGACAAGAGAAAACAGACATTTCATGACACTATAAGACAGTCGGTACAACGTTTTTACAACCGATTAAATATATGACAGGACACGTTCCAAGCAGCAAGTCATAACTATTTTGAGACGAGGGAAAGGTTGAGTAAGGGCTGTGAGAAAGATAGACTTAAACGGTATGGACTCTGTCCAACCCCCACTATACAAAGTTGAAGTACCATAAGACCATACTTCGCCTATTCAGTAATAAATCACATGTACGAAACCCGTTGCGTTATCTATCGAATCTGAGAGGGGATTTATCAGCAGTGAAGCAAACATCAGCAGTGAAGCAGTGACCAAATAACCAAAACAAGTTAACATTTATTTTCTTTCTTAAAGACGAAATGGCGACAGCGTCCCTTCGAACGTGGATGTTGCTATTTGACGGTGTTGGGACAGCCTCGAGCAGTATATATTTACAATGTACCTTTGACATACTTCAGGAATTATATAATTCTTCGCTAACCTCTTTTCAATCCTAAGACAACACTTTATTAATATTTATATTTTCGGCCCAACCACCCAAATTTGAAAAATGCACATTTTCCTTTAATACCCGAGGGTAACAATAAACTGCCCCTTTGATAGAAAACAAATAAATTATTATATTTTCTGTTCAAATGAACAATATGCAAGTGACATCATAATGACACTGACTTGAAAGTACATGTTTATACAATCATGAAAATGGTAACAAGTGAAATTTAAATTGCTATTATATAAATGACTAGGAGAAACGAAAGGTTATTGTAATCATGTAGTATGATGAAACATGTTCTTCGCTACGCTCACATAACTATGTGACATGATCGTTTGTAGCAGTATAAGTATGGTGAGCATATGTTTTGTCGAATATTATGGTAAATGGAAGGGTAAATTGGATATCAGTTTTGATGGATGAAATAGCGATGTATGCCGAGAGCATTGCTTAGTGTATAAACGACATCTGCGTCAGTTTGGATCTTTCAGCAAAGCATACATGTAGTTCTGTGAAAGAATTGCAACATCTTATTAAGACTTGACTTCGATACTCACTGGGGCGGTGGGGTAGCCCAGTGGTTAAAGCGTTGGCTCGTCACGCCGGAAACCCGGGTTCGAATCCCCACATAGGTACAATTTGTGAAGCCCATTTCTGGTGTCCCCCGCCGTGATGTTGCTGGAATATTGCTAAAAGCGGCGTAAAAACAAATTCAGTCAGTCAGTCAGTCAGTCAGTCAGTCAGTCGATACTCACTTGGTTGGGTCGTAGGCGATGTCAGTGTTGTCGGTGACGTTGATGGTGTTGACGCATTGCATGTCTGAAAATATAAAGAACGTAACGAATCATGTGGTATGCCATGTTGGTATACAGTACAAACTCATAGACAGGTTTGTGTCCACTGAGAAGACGGGATATCATTTTTTTTCTTTTTCACAGGAATATCAGGAAAAGAGACATGTAAATGAGACACGTTCGAGTAACTATATTACCCATCAAAAGTTTAGACTCACTAGTGTAAATGTAGCCACTTACTTCAGTCAACTGTTCTAAACTAGATTTGGCAAAATATTCCATACTTGTTAAAGGTACTGTTTATACATGAAACTCAGTGAAAAAGGCGAATTCTTAACAAAACACAACACCAAAACGCAGCTGTTAACATGCACGATATTAGACTAACAACTAGTCTCTGAAATGAACATATTTTCCAGAAATTCTTTTTAAAGTAAACATATAAATAAATATAATGAAAAGGATCCCTGGAAGCTGTGGAAATCTAGACTTGCCACATTTTCTAGACTGCGTGGGCTTTCTTGGATATATTTGCTTCAGGGTCTGTATGACAGACTAGTACGATATTTGCACATGCTTTTCAGCAATTTGATGCATGATCCTCTTGCAACCCATCTGCATAAGGTTTGCAGTTGGTTCCCCCAAGTTGTAGAGAAATTCATCTTCGATGCAGCCACATATATACACATAGCATATAGTGAGGTCTTTAAGTGAGTCTAAACTTTTGATGGGTAGTATATATGGTTGGTGAATTCGTTTAGTGTCATAGTTCTCTAAGTACTGGCAGTAACAGAATAGGGAACTCAACGTGGGCTTTGACGAAGGTTGCAACATCCCCTTTTCGCAACGTCATGCTTACATGTCATTTGTTACTGCATATGAGATCTCATTTAGGGATCTAAACTAGGTGACATTAAATTTATTTTAATGTTTCCAAAGCATGATGTATTAAAATATATCCACAATATATATGCGAGTTTATACACTTATGTCCTTACAAAAGGAGTCCATGTGTTGAAGGGACTTCGGTTATGTATTAAGTATGATAAATACATCATTGTGAAGTATGTCCATAGAGTAGTCTGATATTAAATATATTCTCAGTATTTGTAAATGCCACTTTGAAACATATGTATGGCAGCTCTTAGGCCCAAGAACGTTGTTGAAACGCACAATCATGATTATGGAATTCAGAAGCACAGATATACAATCAGTTCGGATAATCGAACGTACTATCATAGGTTTCTGGCACGTGTAAGGGACACAACTCCGCAGTGAGGGAAGGTGATCAGTATCTTAAGGCCTGTCAGCTTGATGTGGGAGGAACACTTGAAGTGAACGTGTGCATGAACGGATGCGATGCTGACACACCTACATGTAGTGACATTATCAGGTCGAACCAGCTACCATGTGTTTTGGCAGGAGTGAATGAGTGAATTTAGAATTACGCCGCACTCACTAATATTCCAACTATATGGCGGTGGTCTGTAAATATTCGAGTCAATCCAGACAATCTAGTGATCAACATCATGAGCATCGATCTATGCAACTGGGATACGATGACATGTCTCTCCATTCAAACGACAGGTATTGCAATTGATCTGTGCAGTTTTTCTCACCTTTTAAAAGGGATATGAATTAAGGACAAGATATCGAACGTAAAAACAAAAAATAGAAATAAACTTTTTGTTGTTATTGTATGCATGCCGAAGGGTTCAAAACAAATCAACCCACCTCCTTTACAGAACGTTTTAATGAAGTTACCTTCATGTTGAACATACCCAGAATTTACGATATTCCGACAGCTGACTAGTGTAAATTACATCATATGTTCTGACGTTCCCGGCCGTGATATTGCTGGATTATTGCTAAAAGCGGCTTAAAGCTAAACTCACTGACTCCAGCCAAAAAACCAGTAAAGGGTCATGGTGACATTTTAAGCCTCATGTCTGTGTCATCATGAAAGGTAAACAATCCGCCCCTGTTTATATGGTAGACAGGTATATCAGGAAACATTGCCATATCATTGTGACTTGAATCCGATTGGAATGATCTTGGTGTATGGTCAGGTGATGCCCGTAGGCTCAATATCACGTTCAAATTGAATGATGTCAAGGAAATTGTCACCTGGGGAATTGAGTTCGGACACTACAGAATTGTGTGAACAAGTGAACAAACAACAGACGTGATGAAGTTTAACGCCGCTTTCAACATTATTGCAATGATATACTTTACAGTCACCTGTTACAGAGAGATCTGAATGGAGGAGCTTGTCAATTCACCCCGAGATCGACTTTTCTCACTCAAGGTACGCAGCTGTTAGACATACTTTATATTGGCAGCTTGACTCCTGAAAGTTTCTAGGACTTCAGTCCTGCCCCACAACGAAGCACATGTGACGCATGTGGTCTCACCTTAGGCAAGTGAGTTTGTTCAAAATTGCCTCTGTCCACCCAGCAGCAAAATTGGGTACCTGGTATGATGCGATGGTAGTCTGAATTTGAACCTTGAGCGCCTGACAGGCGACCGGTTGTATTCTCCACATGGAGTGTTCTGTACTCGTTGACCAGAGGTAATATGTCAGCGCTTTGAGCATGCAATGTGCATGGATAAACGCGCAATATAAATGGACTATTATTATTATTATTATTATTATATTGTATAAGTACAATGGCTAAACATAATATTAATCTATTGCTGCAACCACAGTTTTACCAATGTGTATAGCGTATTATATCTTTTTGCTGTGACATTCCAATTTGAGATTACGTTGACTGCCCTTTGATCTTGTGTGGTTATTTGCTGATTTCGCTATCTATTCATTGACAGTGTGTCTGTCTTCCTCTGTGTTAGTCTGTTTGTAGTAATCCTGACAGAGTGGTGTAAAGCTTTTGTAATGTATTTTCAGTGGATTGGCCTTTGAAATAGCTTGTTAGCATTATTTTAAAGTCGGACGTCGACATTTAACCCAAGTTGTTACTCATGCAAGGAAAAACGCAAAGCAATTGTCCTGCTGTATTTGTGTCAACAGACAGGTGAATCCACCTCACCATATTGTCATAAATTCAAACTGTCTCAGGACACTAACTTGTCTTTATCATGTATAATATGTAAGCACTATAAAATAATGTGACATACCCGATATCCAGGGACAACCAGGAGCACCAGTAAGTAAAATCCAAACACAGTCATTGTGGAATTGGGCACTGCATCGAGTAAACACTGGACAACCCGTAAAACGTTATGATGTGTTTCAATGGGCAGTATTCCAGGTGTTTGCCCTGAATCTGCCGTGCGAGGTCTAGGAGTCTCTACGTCTGACTTCTGTGTGGGCAGGGTGGAGTCGCATACCCATCCTGTCCTTCCTGGTCCGGTTGAGATTGCTGTGCACTGTGCCTTAACATGACAACATGTAGCCACGCCCTCTGGCGTACTGCCTGTCTACATACAAGCAATCCGGACTGTACGTGAACCCAGTATATTTAACTGAGGTAGGTGTAAATTAGGACAGTCATATCATATAAAATGAGATGTCACGTGGTTGTTATTTAGTGACGGTTTAAAAGGTGTTTGTTTGTGGCAAAAGTCATTGGGACACCTTGACGCAGACCTAACACATTATTCTGATTAAGATGCTGCCGCACAACTCGAGCAACGTGTGGCCTGGCGTCCCATAATGAAACGTTATTCCAGGGCCGTTCTGTTGCAAAACGGTACAGTAGTCATTTAAAAAAACTCGTCTCGTACCTCACAACATTCAAAGTTCCTGTCAATCACAACCATTGACGTCCTTGTTGCAATTGCTATCACACCCCAGATCATAACGCCCCCACCTCCAAAACGATCCTCTTCCAGTACAGATGGCCTGATATAAGGCTCACCTGAGCGCCTGTAGTATTCTGCTGTCAGCTCAGCGAGGAAGGAAGAGTGACTCGTTGTAAAGAGACATCTCTTCAACTGACGTGTTCCTCATCGCACATGATGTTCTGGTGACAGAATTGGCCGTCGGTCTTGCACTGATGCCTTGAACTGTTCTCACATCATTATGAATTTTTCCACGCTTGTCTGGTCCTTGAGTTCAATCTCCCCGAAAATGTTCCCATTAGAAGTTCAAAACACTGTATTTTAACAATAGTTAGGTGTCAGGAATGCATCACTGTCGAAAATTAGCAGTGGTGTGGAAGTTGCTTTACTTGAACGTTTATGGGGTTTTGGGTGGTCTCAAATCTTCAAAACTGAAGTGACAGTGTGGTACATTCAGGAAGGTTGTAAGACTCTAAGTTGCGGTTGTGAGAAGATAATCTTTTACCCCTAAGTTTATGGAAAGGCCTACGCCCATTTTTGCTGCTTTATTGCTAAAATCACTGCTATTAAACGGTCACTGTATTTGTTCTGGGGTCGGGATAAATGAAATAAGAAATCAATTATAACTACAAGAAGTATGACGAATGCAATAGGGAAAACTACCAACCAGCTCTTTCTGGGAGAGAAGCGGATCTTGTGTAAAATAAATCAATAATTGATTAAAACCTTTATAATGTTTGGCAATTGTAACTGAAAGTACTCATAACGAGCCATAAGGAAATGTACCAGCCAGTGAATAGTTGTGATGTACGAACAACAACAAATGCTGTAAATGCTTTGAAGGTGAAATGATGAATTTACACATGAAATCATGAGTTGTAATCGGACACAGAAACAATAACTGCTTTGACCAGGAGCTATTACAATCTGACAAATATGAGTAAGCAGACACTTGGTACTAAAATATGCAATTTCCATACAACTTAGCAAAGTAACAATTATATGATATACACTGATTCTGAACAGAACGATTGTATGGTAAACTGGCTATAGTTGACACTAAATGAGATGTTGCAGTAGGTATCAGAAACAGGCAAGAATGAACATTATTATTGTGATTCTGTAATAGTAAAGGAGAGAAATTATTGTATGTTCTTTTGAAAACGCGAGTTTGTTTTGGTATAGTGAATATCTCGTATTAAGAATAAGCATTGCATTTACTCAGCCTTGGCGAGCTAAATACTAAGTGATTATTTCTGATAAAGGATATTTACCCTCCAAAACATGTGATAATATTTTCAATAATATAATGGGTTTCCTCAATGCCGTCGCCGAAACACCTGTTCTCACCTCTCACAAACATTAAGTAAACATTGCAAGTTTTACTGGAATCAGAGGATGAACATATTACCATCACAAAAAAGTAGGGGATATTGGATTTACAAGATAGATAAAATGCAAATGATGAAGCCAAGGAGGAAACAGATGATGACGAGAAATATAAGGGAAAATGTGACAATATATTCTATTCCTTTGGAAATGTTTCATCTGTAAGGATATATTTACTTTTTCTCATATGCATTGGCATTGGCATCCCCTATACCTTTTTTGAATGGTATATATTACTTCGAAGTTACGTGATATGTCAGTCGGAAAGTGGCAGCAGTCAATATATTGAAATGTTTCTTAGACTGTGGCCAGACTACATACTGACAAAGTAACAATAATTGCCTGGACACGTGTATACTGTTTCTATTTGCCTTCGTCGAATTCATCCAGTGTTAAAGCGCAGTGACATTTTCATAGTATTTATTTCACCTAACAGAATAAAGCCATTACCAACCCGGGTGAGAGAGCTTCGCAGAGGTTAGTTGTTGGTTAACGCTGCACTCAGCAAAATTCGAGCTGTATGGCGGCGGTCAATAGATAATGGAGTCTGGACCAGACAATCAAGTGTTCAACATCATGGCCATCGTTCTACGCAATTGAGATACGATGACATGTGTGAACTAAGTCGGCGAACCCGACCATCCGATACTGTTACTCGCCTCTTATAACAAGCATGGGTTACTGAAAATTAATTCTAACCCAAATCTTCACGGGTATCAGAAGTTTTGAAAGACTGTTGGTGGCTTCTCGCTATTATGGTGGCAAACAAGTTTTTATATATTTATCCTGAGACGACCATAAGACTCAGTCCTCCGTTACATAGCGATATCTCAACATTACATACACCATCCCATTCTTTCATCGCATCTCTTTATATTTCTCGTTTGATAAAACGATGGCCCTTCTCAGCAATCATACAGTGTCTATTATGGCAAGATCGTCCTCCGTAGGAAACTGTGCCTATAATAAATTCAGTCTCAACTTTGGCACGTTTATTACGGGAGAGAGCCATGCAGGTGTATCCACAGACGCGTGATCATACACTCGCTACTTGGCTTATCAAAACTTCCTTGGCGTATCTCTACTTCCTTATCGTATCTATCCTTATACACCTATGAATGTATCATATAGTTCTAGGTGTTACTCTGGTCAAACGCACATTTCAGTTTTTCGTGAGGAAAACTTTGTGAAATATGTTATAAAATGCTCCTTGTTTGACATTTATTTTGAATTTGGCCAGAATACACACATCACACGTCATGAGTGCCTTATATAGGACGTGTAGTGCATGACATGATATGATCTGTTATATTCGTAACTGAAGACTTGTGAGTAAACGTTAGACAACAGGGTAGTTTGAGTTGTATTAAATAAACATATTGATACAGCTTGTTTAAACTCTTACGCTTGTTTTTTGCTTAAGAATGTAAACACTTTGGATTGGCGAATACCTATTGGCTTTCTGTCCTGAAGTTTACCCTCGGCATGCTGTTTACATTGTTTAATCCTTAACGTCAGTATACTTTTTATAAGGGGACATGAGTTTTACTTTGTTGAAGGGTAACTGGTTTGTACCCGGTCGGGATAGACAGGAGCGTTCATTTGTGTCGTAAACGCGAAGTGAGAGACAGTTTACAGACCGGTATTTCGTCTTAAGGTGCGGACCTCGAGCCTACTCGTCATTTACTTCCTTTTCTGATTCATACTCGGTGGACTTTTCTTAAGTTGTCGGGTCTTAACATTATTAGATTTATCATTGGGACAAAATACACGGTTAGACACAAGTTCATGATATAAGAAAATGTTTGTCATTTGCATTGTCATATTTCAAATAAAGCATCATGCAGTTATTTGATCTCACATCCACCGGTGTCCGCGCGTGTGTTTGAAACGAAAACTAAAACGGCAACATGGCATTGAATACCTGTGGATTGATTTATGTACCTCATTTATATCAATGAGTATGAGCTGAAACCGCCTCGCTTTGAGACAGTTGAGTTACCATCCAAATAATTCTTTTTCCTTACCTGGACGTCTCCATAAGGGCCTTGGTCCGCTTTCAGTCCGTATGTCATTTGTCCGCTTTGACATTTTAAACACAATTCATGCCTAAACGAAATATAAAATGCTTCGAACACAGGTTGGACAAATTTCAATGAAAATTCCCTGTGACCATTTTTGATAGCATACATTTGAGACAAAATGCCTATATATTAGAAAGTCATCTTGCCTAAAGTTTCATGTAAGATCATCCGTAAGACTATCCATCCGTTCCATATGTCTTCGAATTCAAAGCCAAATGTATACCACTATATCAGAGAAGTTATGGCGAGGTTCTGTACTACTTGTACTCAGAACTACCATTGGTGGTGCAGTAAACAGATCAACATGAGTACGGTATCGTTCGATCAAAAAGGTTATTTCTGAAATGGTCATCAAGCCATCCAACATCTCGATATCAGATAAATGCTTTATTCGATCACGTGACAATGTTGTTCATGAATCAGTATGATGATGACAGACAATTCGTCGTTTTCATTTTGATCTTATTAGAGTGTCATAAACGGATCGTCGAATTTGAACGTTTGTCCAGACATGGATGCCATTAGCTGTTATAAATGAAGCCGACACTCGTGCTCTTGTTAACGAATCCATATGTTACATCATAGTAGCATGGAATCACAATTATTGCAACTAACTGATGTCTTCGTGTTGGACAGGTGCTGTAAACTGGAATAGTTTCACCCTTTTGCAATGGAAACCCCCGCAATTTCTTCGTATTTAAACTATATTTAGTATGTATATTCAAATACTCGTCACAATATGGCTGAACTCACTAACTTATTCACTCATCATTTCACACACTGCTCTTTTCAGGTGGTATAATAGTACACTTTCATTCTTGAGAGATAGACATGCACGTAAACCTAGTATTACCAGGTTTAGTGACAAGTGTGCTATAGATGAAGGACGTTTGACGTGTGGGTTATTCGAAGTTGAAAAAAACCCCCAATTGGTCCCTTCAGAATAAAATAAAATGTTTAGTGCATCCGAAAAGCTCAAATGCACACATCCGCAGTTTCTTGCGTCCAAATGAATTGTTTACAAGAGTATTGGTTGAAATGAATATATTAAGCAACTGTTCTTTTTGCTGTTGTTTTCACAAAACGAACAGTAATTGTAATCATTAA